ACCCCATACACATCAACTTTGAATCAGGGGGGTGTAATATTTTGGCAGGGCGGTAGCCGAAAGCCTTCAACGGCTGACCGACTGAATGAATGACCGATTGACAGGCGGCTGGCCAGCAGGTCCGCACAGCGAAACACTGGCGGACAAAGGGACAAACGGACAAGTGGATAAACGGACAAGTGGACAAGCGGACCGACCGACCGACCGACCGACATTTACGGACAAAGACACAATTGACGATTAATCGATTAGTTGAAATTTGACACATGAACAATTATCGGTCACGGATGCCAGCGCAACAGAACCGAAACAACAACAACAACAACAGCAGCAGAAACATTCGGCGGTAGGGATAAATTATGGGGCGTCAGGTGTCCGCCATGGAAACTGGAAACCCAATTAGCGGTGTCAGGTGTACAACTGAGGTCCAATATTGGTCGGCAATCAAGAAAGCTCATTATTTGAGACCCCAAAACATTGTCGATTGCCAGGCACTTTCAGGGGGGCTGAGTATATTGATTGATTCAATCTAAAGTTTATGGAAATCGGAAGGGAAACTCAACTGAAAAACTAAAAAATATAATGAAATCTCATTCAAAAGTGTCTGCATTTACAAATAAGGATTTAAGTGCCAGATCTTAACTCTAATGACGCTGATAAATGAAATCAAATTTTAAATACCAAAAACCCATTAAATAGGCCTCATCCGATCTTAATTATTCATCGATTTCGGCTTTTATGCCACAGTTTTTATTGGCACTAATCTCGTTTTGTTTAAGATGGAGATCATAACTAGATTATGACAGTTTTGTGAATCGTTCGGCGTTTTGTTTTACGATGGCTTGATACGAAAATTGCCCTTAACGATCGGCAATCAGTGCCAAGAGTGGAGCAACTTTCGATAGATCAGAATTCAATATTTTAATGGCAGGCCTTAAATAAATTTGCACACCTTATGTAAATTTTCCGTGGCTGGTTTACAAGGGAATTTCATTTTTCGCTGGCACCCTGCCACGTTTTTAATGGGCGTAGGTGAACCCGATTCAGATGGGGTTCCATCGTAAAAGGGTGCGATGGAATGGGGATGCCGGTGCGTTGAACCCTCGACAACTTTTGTTGGCAGCCGACAAAGAAATCACAAAAGTTTATAGCCTTTGCAGAATATTATTTTCAATTTATTCAATATTTTAATAGCATTAGGTTAAAATGCGACATTCTCTTTATTCTGTTTTGTAAACACAAATGTTGTTTAAAAATAATTAAGGCTGACATTGAAACTATAACTTCCCCGAATAAATGTGAATTTTAGCCCTGAAAATTCCAACTTGGCTTAAGTAAAATCAAAATTCGTTTGGCATATTTTTGCGGATGTCACTTGATTTTGGTGAATCATAATTTTGCGATAAAAAATGTTTTTTTCTGAGTCATAAATGTCAGCACTTTTACTATCTGCATATCTGAGTTCGGGACTTTTCCGCATTTCTATCTGTACACGTACGTATGTGTTTGTTTGGCCTATTTAAGAAACATTTTGCTGGTAATGTCCACAGGATTTGGAGGCCAAGAGATGAGCACTTTTGCATAGCTAAATGCCTTACAAACACCCCTAAAAAGAGAGCCGGCATCCTCGTATCTTTTGCCTTATTTTATGTGACAGTTTTATTTATTATTTTCTTTTTTCCCAGCATTTGTTACTGTACTTTTTCGTGAGCATGTTGTTGTTAGTTTTGGCCTGTCACAAACACACTGGCACCGAAAAAAAAACACATACACACACATACTCGCATAGGAAAATAGCAGGAGACAGTGAAGAGCCTTTGCATATGGCTGCGTTTTTTTCTATTTTCTTCTATTTTTCTGGCTGCTGTTTCTCTATTTATTCTACTATTCTCATTCTTTTTTTTTGCCCCTTCTCCTCATTTTGAGAGATGCATTTTGCGCTTTTTGCGGTTCCTTGGCTATGTTAATGACACTTACAAAAGCAACAACAGAGCCCAAGAAATGTCACACTAACAGTGGGGGATGGGGAACGGGGGGATTACGGGGAGACCCCGAGAACTATACGTCTTGCAAAGCCCACATCTAACACCTCTTTAAGCCCCACTCTCCCCGGCCAAAGCACTTTCTAGACCCTCTTCAGTTACCCTTTTTAAACATCTGCAGCAGGCACAGTGCAAACAAGTTTAAAGTGTGTTAACACCTTTCGAAAATAATTCAAAACAAACAAATATTTAATTAAATGAATACTAAAGTTTTGTTTATTTAAATATGTTGTGCAAAATAAGAGACAAATTTTTGAAGATTCATGTTTATAAGTTCCTTTTTTAAATCAGACAGAATTAGCTAAGACCCTCTACAGTTTTAGCTACTTTAAATTGAGAGGATTTCTCAGCAATAAAAATTTACACAAAATCTAAGTTGAGCTTGCAGTTACGCCTTTAAACGGTGTAATATATAGTTTAATTTCTGTGCACTGTACCTGCCTGTACTTAACATTGGGCAGCTAAGCGCGGCAACAATCTAACCCCCATCCTGTGGCCATCTAAGTCCCCGTCCCTCCCTTCCTCCACCCCCCTTTCAAGGACTTTCCCCGGCCCAGCCACCCACGCCACCCCCTTTGGCTCTTCACTTTGCCACTAATGGGACATTTGCAATTAAATTACTCGAATAAAGCATGTAAATTGCCAGTGAATGGAGGCAACCCTGGCTAACCTGCCCCGCCCCTTTTTTTGCCAGCCATCCCCCTGCCCCTCCCTCAACCCCCCCGGCAGAGGTGAAAGTGCGGAGCCAACGGTGCGTATGTGTAATGTGCTTGGGCCTGGCTAAGTATGCTAATGCTAAGGCAACACAAAAAACCGTACAAAAAAGTATATAAATTGTAAAAAAAAATAAAAAAAAGAGCGGAAAAATATGTAAGAAACCCAAATGATAAATTTCAAGTGAATTAAAAATTAAAGCAGAGATTTCTCCCCTTGGACTTTTGCCATTAAAGTTTTTTAGGTGGAAAATTAAAATTAAATTTTGGGGCCCGTCATTCCGTCGTTGTTTACCTAATCATTCGGTGGGTGGGTTGAAAAACGAGTGGAAAAGCGGGGGTAAGGAGGGAAAGTCGGGGAAATGAAGGAGAAGAAGAAGTCATGCCGCAGACAAGGACGAAACCGGAATCACAGCCAGGACGAAATCACCGAATTTGACCAGCTGCCAGAAGTTTCTCCAAAAAAAGGGAAATTCTCCCTGTCATCGCGAAAATTCTCTTGACTTCAACGACTTTCTCTCGATTCTTTAACTCTCCAGCACTTTCTCTTCGTCCTGCGCAACAGGAAAAACGCTCTCTATTGGGAAATTTCCAAAGGGGCAAAACAGCTGTTAGGGAATTTCCGCCAAACTGTTATACGAAAATCTAGGCGGGCAGTTCAAAAATACAAGTTCATTGAACCACGCCAAAAAAAAGTCGCTATGGGACTTTAAAGGCATTCTATTTCGACAGTTTTTTCTTAGGTTTCATGTTTTTTTTTCTTGTCCAGCCACCAATTACATTTGGGCCGTGTCTTATCTAAAGCTTCAAGTCACGATTTCAATTTGCAAGCGAAAAGAGCCCGAAATCGATCTATTGATTTCATATTCAGCACTCAGAGTGGACGACATAAATCAAAATGTGGTTGGAAAGATGGTGACATAAATGAGACGCAGTCCAAGGGTGTTGTTAATAATAAATAAAGGGGGATAAGCTGCGGAATTTTTAAGCAGTGAAAAGACTTACCCAAGTCCAGTTCTATTCACATGGTAATCGAATAGCTTCTGTTGAATTCATCTCCTCCTTTTCCACCGATGACAACGCCTCTGCTTCTGGTTCTTTTCGCCCGCGGATTTCGCTGAGTTGGCTTACGGAAATAGCTCCGATTCTGAAGTCTAGACCCTCGAGTCCAAGCCAATTAATCAGCTGGTGGCCCAATGGGGTAATTACCTCAAGTAGTGCATGCTTCTATTTCAACAGAGATTTCTAATTTCAAGCGTGCTTTCAACAGCTATCAGTCCTGTGGATAAATCAAAAATATTATATATTCAGTAGGAAGAAACAGCTCATTGTTTAAAATAATTTAATTTATGTTTAAAAATATTTAACTATGATTGAAATAAAAACCGGACTAAGGATTAAGAAGGTAAGGGTTAACAGGTTGTAAAACAAGGAGAAAAAAATTTAGCTCTGATGAGGCTTCACCTGACTTATATACCACAGCTACAGCAGCAGCAACAGTTGCTAGTTGCATGTTGCAACTGCGCCAGCGACAACTGAAGTCCTAGAAACAAAGACAAGTCCAATGACAACTAAAAAATCATAACCAACTAAGCAACAGTAGCAGCAGCATTGCCGTCAGGAGCAGCAACATCAGTGCAACAACAACATGAGCCACAGCAACATCGGCAACAGCAACAGCAACAGCAAAAACATCGACGGCAGCAACACCAACGCATTACGCATGCGCAGCCTGAGCAGCGACGTCGACAGCGACGGCAACAGCGACGTCAACAGCGACGCTGCGTAGCCAATATTAAAATAAAAACGAGATAGGAAGTTAGCTTAAACGATACGAACCTTAAATACTCTTTAGATATTCTTCCAAAAATTGGGATACAATTTATCAATTTCTAAGTCAGTTATTTTGTACACTATATAGTGCGTATACATCGAGATATTTGACTGTATTTTTCAGTTACTTCCTTACAAGCTGTTGACCAAAAATTACAATACTTTTTGAAAGGGCATGGCATAATAAGATGGGACTCGGAAGCGTATAAGACTTGAGTATTTGTTTTTGCCTGTTGTCGCCGCTGCTGTTGTTGGCGTTTCTGTTGTTGTTTCTGTTGTTGTTGCTGTTATTGTTGCCATTGTTGCTGCCACTGCCGGCGTCTCTGCCGGCGTCGCTGCCTACCTTCTGCCGCCGTACCGCGCACTTAAAAGTCGTTGAAATTCGATCGCCGAGCGGCAAACGAACTCAGAACGTTGCCGCTGCGCAGACGCAAAGCACGCGCCCCAACACACACACACACACGCACAACAACGGATCGCACCGCCACGCCCCCGCCGCCCCGAAAAACGCCTATGCAAGCCGGCTTGCAGGAATTTTTGGAAAAATTGTACATCAAAGTTTCAAGCTTGCAGGAATCGAAAATTCAAGTTTCCTGGAATTTTGTAAATTTCAATTAACATTACAATACCTCGATTTTTTTTTTCGAATTTTATTTTTTATCTTGTGCATTTTGTGTGTGCGTGAACAATTTTAAGTGCCAACTATTTACGGAGTGCAGCGTAAATTACACGAAAATATTCAGGTAATTTACCCAAGTTCAAGTTTATGGTCAACAATTTGTGAAACTTATTTTTTAAGTGACTGTTTTTCCTGTGGATTTTTTTGATGATCAATTATTAAATAATAAGGAAAAGTGAAGTTAAATATAGTTCAGCAAACAAGAAATTTAATTTCAAGAGCTCAAAGTTATTTTCAGAGTAAAAGTGAAATTTGTCCGAAAGAAAATACTTTTGGATTCGTTTTTGGAAACTAATTAATCAGTTGTAGGCATATTTTTTCGTAAGCCTAATTGCTTTAAATTTTTTGTTTAATTATTATAGGCGTAACTTATCCCTACGCTTGTTGCATTTAAAATTCAGAGGCAGAACAAAAAGTATCATAAAAGTAAACAGGAGGCGTTTTTATGCCCAAAATAATACCACATAAAAGTGAGCAGAAAGCGTTTCATAAAAACGTCGCCGAGAAATATTAGGAGTTCAGCGACACTGGCCAGCGAAATTCCGATTGCACCTGTTCGTCAATGCGGAGTGCTCCTTTTTCCCTTTTTCCCACCTCGCTCTGCTGTCATTCAAACAATCGAATTAGCCCCGAATCTCCCGAGAAGCCCCGTCCCAACTGTTGGACTGTTGAACTGAAAAGTGGACAAGTACCTGATCGGCATGCCGAAGTGGAAATGGAAGGCCCAGCGGAATGGTCAAAAGGGGATCCAAGTGCAGTTAATGCCATAGAACCCGCTACGAGCTTTACGCGTGCATTTCAATGAGCTGTGAGCTGTGAGTAACCGAGGGCCCAAATAATCGAGAAGACCCCCGAAAACTCTTAGCCGTGACTCAAAGTGTCTCGCCTGCACAGAAATCACTGCTCTGTCAGCCTATATAGCGTATATAGCATATAGACAAGCCCTGTATCATGGGCCTCACGTTGGCGGCTCTCCGTTTTTGGAGCTCGGCATTTTGGGCAGCCCGATAGAAAGCAAAAGTTCGATTATTTCGATTGTTGCGCAAGACAATTTCGTTTTCGTTGCAACTTTCTACCGAAAACGGTGAGGATGGTTGTTTAATTACTAAAGTGCAATGGTGAATAAATAAATTTTTAAGGTTTAAGCTTGGGAAACTTATTTGTCAGTTCAAATTACTGTAACTGCTTCTTCTTTTGATCCTAGAATATATATAGAAATTATAGTTTAAAGAACTGAATTTTTCTCAGTGCAGCTTGCAAGGGATCTCGATAACCATCAGCTGATAACTCCGCGAGCCTCCTTCGCTGCCATTCCAAAACTGACCTTCGTTGGGGCCGTTACGACGGTAACTGACCCCCCGTTTCGCTTTCGATTAACACTTTTTAAATACCAAGAGTGACAAGGATGCCCAGCCAGCCAGCCAGCCAGTTCCAGTTGCCAGACTCAGTTTTTTTGCCATTCATTTCATTTTCTGGACTCGAAAGAGATTGGCACGCTTGTTCTCACGCCTGTCAGTTGGCCATAAATTTCAGGCGGGAGTGCTAACAAAAGAAATTTTCAAAACGGAAATATCTGTGCGATGCCTCAAACCAAACTGGATATTTTGCCTAACTATTTGGGCGGTCTTTGTGCATTTCGGCCGACTCGATTCTAAGCCATTAATTGGGCCATTTGTTTTCGACAATCGTTGGCAAGTTGGCAAGCTTGATTCATTTGCGGTTTTTTTTTCTGGACAACTGGACAACAGCAGTCCAATTGACACAATGACACATTTTTTTTTGCCTTGAAGTCGGCTGGCTATATAGCATTGATTCGATCCGATCACCGATCGCCGATCAATTGAAGCCCTGTCTTGATTATAAAATTTACGCATGTTTGATGCTCCATGCTTTGCATGCTTGCCAACGTGATTGAAATTCGTGAGGAGTCCGGGCCATCGAATTGGACACCCAATATACCCCATAACACCCGCACTTCCCCCTGGAAAAGAATCACCTCGATCTATCAGAGAAGTCGTACACGAAGACAAAATAAAATTAGGCTAAAAGGAAGGGTGTTTAACAGCTATAAAAGAAATAGAAATAAATTACATTTTTGTAATGATATTAATTAATCTGAAAACATCAAATCGTTATTTAAATTAACTGAATTTAACAGAAAAAATATCTGAGTTTAAAATTCAACAACAAAGAGTTGATTTCATACTTTTTTTTTTTGTTTTTTTGACAAACACTTACAGGTGTGTTAAACAAATTTATGTTTTATTTAGGCAGAAAGTAGAGCTATCAAAGAACCATCAGGCAGAACAAGAAATGCGCGATGTAAACAAATTTCGTATACAAAATATTCGTCTCATGGCTTTAGATTTATTTCTTTGTGCCAATTCCGAACTTACCGCTCCCCCAACCAATTAGTGATTTTTCGAAAAGCAATTAAGAAGGAGAAATGCTAGAAAATAGCTTTTATAAACCGATTTACATTCTACAGTTCCAGTTTGCAAATCAGTTGAATAATTTTTCGGGCGACCTCCAAAAGGGGTCTTATAATATTATCAGGGGGAATTCACGGGGTAAAGGGAGTTGCGGATGATCAATTTGTCATGCCGCTTACAGAATCGTGACTTGTACGAAAATATTGACGTGTGGTGTTTATTATAATGCGTATCGATATCATTATTTGTGATTTATTCATGTCGCCCATTCGCCAAGTTCTTCTTTTGTGTGGGCCTTTATACTCGATTACTCATTCTTGTCCGGCGCCATAATAATAGAGTACCTTCGAAATCGAATTGTTAATTTGGCAAGCGGAAGAAATAATTGAAAAACACTTAAACTTCTTTTTGGTGGTCTGGCTGTGATCGAATTATAAATTTTATATTCATATGTTTGATTTAAGGGCTTAGTCTTTCTTTTTTTATTAAATTTTGTTGTATGTTTTATGTTATTTTCTCAATTACTATATCGTTTTTTACTCGAAATTAAGTGCAATTAAAATTCGATTTTATTAAGGGATTTACACAATGTAGGCCAACGTTTTGCTCAATTTCGCAACGCCCTATTTCCCTTCGCCTGACTTTTGACACTTCGTGAGTTTGCCCATCTGACAACTTTATTACTTGCCTTGCTTTTGGCCACTGTCACGCCCCCAAAAACTGAGGTCCCAAGTACAAGACATCGATTGCATAAGGTGATATATAGTACATTAAGTACATTCCTCTTTTTGCACTTCATTCGAGTGATTTTTTTGCAGTTTTCAAGGGGGGTTGAGTCCGGTCCTGCAATTCGATTGCGTAATGAAAACACACGCAATGTTAATAAAACAACAAACAATCAGCGGCCAATGTTGGTGGGCCCTTTTTTTTTTGGGCCGTGCAATTTGGTTAATTTACAACTTAATTTCTGCCATGGTTTTCAATTTATCGTCGCCCGGCTGGAAATGTCGTACATTTTAATTTGGCCATCAGCATTGGCCTGACAATTATGATAAACGTTGCTGGTTGTTGGTTATTGCAAGGACGTTTTTTTTTTTTTTTTTTTTTTTGCTCTGATTTTTCAGATTTTTTCCTCCTGGTTTTCTCCATCGCTTTTTGCGCTTGCACAGCATTTACTCCTTTTCGGTAGACGATAAATAGCCTTTTTCTCGTCGATTTTTACCTTGTCGTGCAACACGCTCATTTAACGCCAAGCAGTTTCCACCTGGCGGCTTATTGATTTCGGCGGTCCAATTAAAAATCAAGCACTCATGCCTAATTACATCGGCGGCAAAAATCGGATGGTTGGGGTTTAATCAAAGGAGACCTTAACCCTTAACCCTGTGCCTCGTTATTAACACTTTAAATTTATTACTTTAAATAGTATTCTAAAGTAAAGACCAGAAAAATCGTAAGCCCTTTAGCCAAATAACCGTTTGGCCTTTTAAATTAATATTAACACTTACATTTCTTAGAGGGTTAAAGCAGAACATTTTCCGCTTGCAGGAACTGCTAACTGAGTTTAACGATAATTCGAGGACTTAGTCATCAAATAATCAGTCACCGTAAGGTTTTATTTACTCCCTGCCAACATTGTTTTCAGTTTTGTTGATTTTTCGTTGACAACTGCTCGTTGAAATGCAATAAAAAATCAATATATTAATAATAAATTTATGAGATATAAAATCACATTTACAGCCAATTTCCTTATGCCCCCGAAACATCCCTGCAAAAATTATAATTGTGGCTCGTTAAACAACCAAGTTTACTGCCACACAGAGTCAACGGCCAAAAGGCTAAAAACAACGACAAAAAGAAAATATTTACTAAAACATTTCGGAATATATTGAGATTCCTCGGCGTCTTCTTCTTTCTTGTTTTGGTCTTTTGCCGATGGACAAATCAATTCGATTATAAGCCATATTGATATCAGGGAATGGGTTAGGCTAGAGTCCAGAATGCTGGGCTTTAAAAATGCAAATAAATAAGAGCACACTGGGAGAAATTAGGGTGCTTGTTCATCACTCTATTTTTAAACACACTACTTGATTATATTAAAAACAAAAAACAGTTTGAGCCACAATAGTTTCTTTGATATTTTTGTCTGAAAGATCAACCCATAGCACACTAACTGACTTTCAAAAACCTTTTTTGCTCAGTGAACCCTTTGCTTATAATGAGAATCGAGCCCGATCATCTGCATATATATTTTTAGCCCAGAAATCTCCGCTCGCTTTCGTATTTCGTATTTTGATTTCGTTGGGGGCCGGACCAAGTTCAAGTGCTTTGCGTATGGTAAACCCGTTTCTGCAGCAGATCCCCCCTTCGCCCGGAATCGAATCTGCGCAGACTAGATGATGCCATTAAAAGTAATGCTCGAAATTGAAAAACCTCACCAAAAAAAAAACACCAGGCATTGACAGTTTTTTCTGGTTTTTTTAGCGCCTTGACAAGCGAGCAAACATGTTTAACATAAAAGATAAGCCTCAAAGGGAACGAGAGCAGGGCAAAAAAAAAGTTATTTAAACAAAAAGTGGCAAATATACTTGCATTTATCCCCGTCTGTCTGGGTCCTTTTGAGACTGTGTGCGTGTGTGTGCGTGTGTGTGCGTGTGTGGGGGCATGAATTTATTTATAAAGGGCACCGGCCATAAAGTCGAAAAGCGGATCAGGTGGACGTCCTTGCAATCTGCAGCTAATTCAGCAAGTACTGCTCACCTCACAGTGGTTTATAAAAATTATTTCCCTCTAAGCAAACTAAAGTTTTTATTTAAATAACTAAAATGACATGTTGCCATATATATTTCTTGTTTTCGGACAGAAGCAATTTATTACCACTACATATTTATTTACGAAAGACAAAAATTGTAATAATTGTTATTGAAATAATCCTACAAGGATCTATGACACTTCACTGAGTTCCACTGTTTGGTCATCTCGAAAACTCGTTTGTTGATAAAGCGCATTCGATTTTAAGCCCTCCGTCTGGTGCACTATATCATGTTTCCCCGTCTGCTTTCTAGGCACCTGGGAATCGGGACTCGGGGATGTGGACGTGGATGCGACACTTGACAGCCGCCAAAATGGGCGTTTTGCCAGTGGGCGTGGTAAGTAGTTAGTTGGTCGGCCGCAGGTCAGTCAACCGAGAACACTTAATCCCCGGCTATACGTTTTCGTAGCTGGGACTGGTGCTCCTCCAAATGGCGATTTCGGTGCGGGGACACGGTCGTCTGATGGATCCGCCGGCGAGGAACGCCATGTGGCGATTTGGCTATCCCAATCCGGTGAACTACAACGACAACGAGCTCTTCTGCGGCGGCTATGCGGTTCAATGGGAGCAGAACAAGGGCCGCTGTGGCGTCTGCGGGGATGCCTATCACGTAAAGAAGCCGCGACCCCACGAAGCTGGCGGGGAGTACGCCAAGGGCATCATCTCCCGCTACTACACCTCGGGCCAGGAGATCGATGTCGAGGTGGAGCTGACCGCCAATCACTACGGCCGCTTCGAGATGTTCCTCTGCCCGAACAACAATCCGCGCCAGGAGGCCACCCAAAAGTGCTTCGACCGATATCCCCTGCTCATCTCCGGCAGTCGGGAGCACCGCTACCTCATCCCGCGCGACGCCAAGAAGAAGGATATATTCAGATACCGGGTGCGACTGCCTCCCTATGTCACCTGCACCCAGTGCGTCCTCCAGTGGACCTACTACACCGCCAACATGTGGGGCACCTGCGCCAACGGAACCGAGGCAGTCGGATGCGGCAAGGCGGGTGAGCATCCCTCTAGTTGGAGTAATGGCTTATGAACATTTTCCAAGAGTATTTACTAATTATTAACAATTACCAACTTGGAAAAGATTAATTGACAATTTTGGTAAAAAAAATACTACATTTTTAGTGGTTTTTCGGTTGTAATAGGGCCAAAAAGTTACTTACAGCGGAACCAAACATTGTTTTAAACACCTTATGACCACAGTTAACGAGCCCAATCACTTTTTGGACGATTAAAAAAAATTTTTTTTTTGACAATTTTTGCAATTTTGGTAAGGGGTAACATCGCCATTTTTTGCGAAAAATGGCAAAATTTCAACTTTTTTGGGTGTTTATACCATCGGAATCAGAATTTTATTACGAATTCAACGATGTATGCCATTCCACATTTGGAAGAGTACTTCCTGAGATATTGCAAAAAAACTCGGTTTTTTGTTGGCAATTTTATGTAGTTTTGGGCAAAACAAACATTTTCGCATTTTTGGTTAAAATCATTTTTTGCGAAAAATGGTTTGCCATTTTTTTATTTCAAAATTTTTAGGTGTGAATGCCATCGGATTCAGAATTTTATTACAAATTCATCAGTGCATAATATTATATATTTAGATCACTACATACCGAGATAGCGACCAAAAACGAAGTTTTTTTTATGATTTTATGCCTTTTTTCCATATATTTCATTCCATACAGCTGTCATTTGAACAATCATCGAAAATATAAAAACTCAAAAGAAAAAATCGACAAATTTTTGATGTTGTTTAGCCTTTATTTTGCATGTACGACATACCAAAGGTTCGGCAAGCCGAAGCTAGCTTCCTTTCTGGCTTTCTATTATATTGTATTATTTATTTGAAAACTGTTTTCTAGAAACCTTCCGCAACTGCGCTGATATAGCGATTGTCTCGAACACCGGCGGTGGCATTCCGCCGATCTTTGTAAACAACAAGTCACCATATCTGCTCTACTATCGGGATTATCGGGCGCCGGAGGACAACAATATCTTTCCACTTATTGTGCGGTAAGTGAGGCGTTGGAAATCTTAAAATTAATTCATTATGCTAGTCTACAGTTGTGTATTGTCGATCTCATATTTTCCAAAGCTTTCAGTTCCTGTTTATTTATTTATTGTTATTTATTTATACTCTCTGGAATTGTACTTTGTCTTCTCCATCTTCACAGCTTTTTTTATGATTTTCTGTATTAACAAATCAATTTTCTGTGATACTTCCTAAGATATTTATTTATACACAATTAACTTTCAATATTCACTTGTAAGTACGCTGTCTCTTCCGATTCTTTTAAACCGCTTCCGTCTAAACCTAACCGATTCAATGTTCTTTCTCTAACGAAATGTGTGTTTTTGTTGAGAGATTAGCGAGCACAATTTTAACTCTTGCTTTGGTTTCTAGCAATGCCACGCGGCATGCGCGCAAACGAGGCAAGGCTTAACCGCTTACCCGCTAGACAGCTTTCCCGATACCCGCTTAAAACCGCTTATCCGCTTCCCGCTTCGAAAACAGCTTCGAAAACTACTTTTCTAGCCTAGTCGAAACTGCAACCGAAAAATCAGAAAAAACTCAAAACACAGAACAATCCCGCTGGAATACCCGCTCAAAATCGATTCAGAGTTCATAACGAAACGGGTAAAGGTAAATTTTACGATCGCCTTACATTTTAAGTCTGCAAACGGTTATGGTCCACACACACTGCTGTATATAAATAAATGCTTAAATAAACACAAAACCTATACATAAATGCATTTATATTGTTTCGCTTAACCGGTTCGCCTAACCGATACGATACCTCGGGTGCTGGGGCATATAGTATATGTTTCACATTGCACATGAAATTTTATTAACATTGATCGACTTGCCACCACTGAGGCGCAGTAAAAGAACAAAAAATTCGAAAATCTAAGTGTGAACTCGAACACCGAATCGGTTTTCGGTTTTCGATTTCTGTGGATTGACTGTACATCCTCTCTGCCCATTAGGTGTTACTTAAGTCCAACGTTCTAACTTCACTGATCGAAATATTGCACAATTTTGGAAGAAGAGCTGGGAGATGGATGCTGTTGTGTCGTGTGTGTGTGTTTCTGTGTGGGGTTGCTTTAGCAACTGACATCGGGATAGGTAAAAGCCATGATTAGAACTAGAATAACAGCAACCTGGACCGTTCCGACCAGCACGGTTTTGAGCAACTGCATCCGGACCTTGGGCTCAACGCGAATTTGAATGGGCGGTTCCGGCGCCACTCGCCGTATGACGACCCTCGTCTTCTTCGGGAAGAGCTCCTCGAACTCTTGACGTCGCAGCTTGAGTTTCACCTCCTCCGACTTCTTTCTCTTGGCCAATCTGGGACTCGGATTGGGTGTGAAATCGGGCGAGTCGAGCTCCGTTTCCGTTTCTGCTTCCGGTTCCGGTTCCCCTTTCGGTTCCGTCTTCGGATTGCCCGGATTGCCCTTCCTCTTTCGCGGCGACTCGAGTTCCGTTTGCGTGGTATTGTGCACTTGGCTCAGACTTCGTGGCGCTCTGGCCAGCTGATCGCCGGCGGCCACGCCCACCGATAGCCGTGAGTAGGCAATGGCACCGCCGTAATTGGCCAAGGTAGTCCCACCACCGCCGCCGCCCGACTCCCGCGTGGCCAATTCGAATCCCTCGAGGGCGCTCCCGCCGGCAGTCTTTGCATCCGTGTAGGCGAGACTATTGAAGAACATCTGATCCTGGTCGAGGAGATTGAAGGGCTTGCCAGCGCCCGCCAGGAGGGGGGCCTGAGCTGCTGGAGCAGCACGTTCGGGTTCTCCCGCAGCTTGCGGAAGTTGGTGCGCTGCAGCGGCACCGTTTCCATCGTTTCCAGCTCCCGCAGGGGCGGCTCCTCCCGCGGAGCTGGCAGGTAGAAGCACTGCAGGTCGTCGGCCTTCTTCATTTCGGTCAGGGTCTTCGTCTCGATGCGGAACTCCTGCACCAGGCCAAAGTGATAGGCCCGGGCCACGATCTGCACCCGCTGCTGCACCAGCGGCGTCTGTTCGATGCGCAGGCAACCCAACTTGGTGATGGGCAGCTCCTCCGGCTGGAAGGGACTCGAGCGCGGCGTGTAGAACTGGCAGGAGGAGGACTGCCTATTCACATCCTCAACGATTTGGTAGCTCCTCCGTTTCGCCGGCGCCAACGGTTTCGGGATGTTCGAGGCCCGCAAGGTGGCCTCCAGCTTCTCGCCCAGCTGCTGGAGCATCCGGATCTCGTGCTGCAACGTCGGCAGATTCTGGCACACCTCGTCCAGGTCCAGCTGGCGCTGCTCCCGCTGCCGCTGGTCCTGCTCCAGCTGGCGCAGGTGGCGCTGCCTCAGCCGCACCTCCCGCAGCTCGGAGCGCAGACGCTCCTGGCTGACCGCCGAGCGGGCCTCCAGCTGCTGCTGGCGCAGCTGCAGCGCCTCCAGCGTGGGGCTGTCCAGTTGGCTCGAGGTGCTGGTGCTCGACGACTGGGTCACCGCCTCCAGCGGCAGCAGCTTGAAGCCCCCGCTGCGCAGAGCCTCCGCGGAGGCGGTTCTCTGCAGCTTCAGCGAGTCCTCCAGCAGCGATAGATCCTCCTCCAGCGGATGGTTGAGGTGCTCGCAACTGTTGCGTAGTCGCCGGACGGTCAGCAGATCCTTGACCTTCTTCACCGGCTTGCACAGGTAGACGAAGCTCTTGTTCTGGTCGTCCGGCAAACGGATGGCCTTGGCCAGCTTGATCTTGTGGCGCTCCGAGGAGCTGCTGCTTGCACTCAGGAACTCATCTGGAACACCTGGAACCGGTCCATTTGCTCCCCCGGTTCTTCGCACCGGACTGCTGCTCTTGCTGTCGAGCGGCGAGTTCATGAAGTGGCCGCTCTTCAGGCTGCCCAGTGTGATCTGCGACTGCTCCAACTTGCCTTCGGCCTCCGGGAGCCTCAAGCGATTCGGGTTCCGATTGGGCGACTTGGCCGGCAGCCTGGCCACTCGCGGCAGAAAGCTGCGCTGCCTTCGCGGCGTACTGCTCGGATTCGGGACGTTGGTGCTCTGAGCCAGTGGAGTGGTGGGTGGAACCACCTTCGGTGGTTGTGGATAGCGCTGTTTCGGCGACAACTGGTTGACCGGCAGGGACCAATCCTGTCCAGCTGGCGGGGCAGAGCGTCGGGGGTTTTGACCTGAAGCAAACACAACGAATCAAGCAATTAATAGTGATTACTTTTACTGCTGAATATAATAGTTTTGTTAGCAATAGAGTTTTGTCTTTTGCCAAATTTAGTTTCCAGGTCTCTGGAGTATATCTGGAGTCTAGACCTTTCTACTAAGGGAATGGTTACCCATTACTCACCAGTCGATGGTCCGCGTGACAGCATCTCGGTTCGGGTGTAGGTCGTCTTGCGGCGCACCGTCTGCACCGATGGCGATTGGAAATGGCCTCCGTTCTGGGACTGATTTTGAGCCTGGTTCTGTGTGTGTGTCCCTCCAGTGGCGCCAGTCGCCTGCATCTGGATGACCTGCTGCAGGCCCTCGTGACCCCGATCCATTTGCCGCATCTGGTTGATGCGGTTGCGATTCATTGTTGCTTCGGCTGGCCGGCGATCTGTTGCGGCATCTGCGATCTTCGGATCTTCGGTTGTGAAAAGTGGAATATTGTTTGGCCGGAAATGTTGTTATGTGAGTGGAAGCTGGCGACTGCCTTGAGTATTTGTATTAGCTGACTGGTCAAATGAACAACGTGTAGACAGGAGCTCAGATGACGTCCATGTTGGAATGAAATTAGAGCGACAGCCCGACGAAAAAATAATGGCTACTGCGATATTTGCTCGTTCATTAACTTGCTCAATATTTTATCGAATTTATAAATGGCAAATGAATGTTTGTGAAATACGTGAAGTGAAGTTGCTGAACTACAGTTCCATATCTGTCGGATTATTGGATTACTATTCGCTTATCGTGGACTTAAAACAAACAAGTTATCAATTGAGTAGGTAAATAGGTAAAATCGTTTTATTTGAATCGCTACATTTGGCCACTACTTGTTCGCCGTGTTGGCGTCCCTGAGACATTGGGCCAACAAGGAGCTGGCCAAGGCGCGCTTCTGCAGCATTTCGTACTGCCGGACAACGGGGTGTTCCTTTGGCACAGCCGGACTGGCCTCCCTGCGATCCGGCGAAAGGGGCGTGCCCAGCTGCCAACTGTAGGCGTTGCTCGTTGCCAGGCGGACCGGCGGCGGTGCTCTGGTGCTTGCTACACTGCGAGTTCGATTCTGGTTACCGGGCTGGGGACGAGCGGAAGAGGATGCGGCCTGGAGGATGCGCTTGTTGCAGTCGGAGATGGCGTTGCCGTAGCTAATCCGCAGCCCCGCCAAGTAGCGGCGCTGCTCGGCCCGACGACGATCCTCCTCGAACAACTGCATCTCGCGTCGAAGGTCCTCCTCCTCTTCTCCAAGCTGGCCTCCTGCTCCAAAACAGGGAATTTATCAGCACGCAGTAAAAGGTCACAGCTTACTGTTTGATACTGTTCTATATTCTATATGTTCTAGCTTGGGTTGCTTGCTTTTTCAAGGAAATACTGCTGGGTTTTTTTGGGGGGGTTGAAACAGGAATTAACGTTTAAAGGTAATGTCTTTTTTTTCAGGTAAAAAACGTAACTTAAGAACTTTCCCTTTTTTGTTGTATAACTATATATGCTTTTGTTATTAAACTCTCATCTGCACTTTCAGTGACCAGAAGTGCATAGGTGCTCCGGCCTTCAGATCCCTGCCAGGAATCGACAACTGGTGCGAGATCAACTGCCTGCGCTATCCGCCCAATTGTCCCGAGGATGCCTGTCATTGCCCGTAAGTAATCCCAAAATAAGACCATAACGAAATCGATTTCAAATAACCATTTAAATTTGAACCTGCAGGCAAGAGTGCGTGGCCATCGGCGAGCTGGAGGGCCAGGAGGGAGCCGACACGTACTGCATGGACAAGTGCCTCAACTACGGCTCGGAGTGTCCGCGCGACAGATGCCGCTGTTACTAATCCGGCCCAGCGATTCCGGATTACGAGCCACAGCTGTGCTGCCCACCCATTGCCACCCAGCCCCAGGAGGATTGCGCGATGCGAGATCCAATGAATTGAATTTAATTGACAACATATTAACTTATTTCGTGTTGAACTTCAATGGTTTGGGATGGCTCTGTATGGGGTTTATACTGATGTTTTTCTGTTTATGTTTCTGTTTTTGTTTTTGCTTCTGTTTTGGTTTATGTTTTGGTTTCCGGGAACACTGGAGCAGTCTACTCCCGCCTGTAGGCATCGTGCAAAAAGGGGCGTGTGAAGGCCTCGAGGAGTTCGCGTTGCTCTCGCAGCCGCCTGGTCTGCGCCGTCGGGGTCTCCGTGCTATCGATGTAGCGCCGTGCCCGGAACAGGGCCGAAACCGTGCTGCCCAGCTGCTGCCAGCGTTCGGTGGCCCGCGATTCGATCTGCAACGGTTCGGGGAGGACTTTCAGCAGGCTCGGCTGGGGAACAACAGCCTGGACTTCTTCCGGCGGCGCCACAGGATCGCCCGCGGGATCTGCGGGTGCCTCGACCATCGCTGGAGGAGATTCGCTCGGCGGCAATGGCATTGTCTGGCTGGAAATGAGCACCTCGGCGCGCTCCTCGCGAGCATCGTCCTCGCTGTCCGGCGGCAGAGCGATGAAACTGCCACTGCCACTGGCACAGTTGCGAACTTGGGCAAAACTCGAGGCGATCCGACGCAGTGGCACATCTCCGTCCTCCTTCGGCGGCTCTTCATTCGTTTCCACAGGAAGATTCGTGGACGTAGGTTGGCTGCCAGGCAAAACACCGCTGCCACTCTGCTTCGAGCGCATCCTGTTTAGATTTGTTTTGGAGACTTGGTTGCCATAACTGCGGCGCATCTCGGCGCGTTCGCGACGAAACTGCTCGACTTTGGTGGCAACCAGTTGGTCCCTGGATACCAGATAATGCGGCTTCTGTTTAATCTCCTTGATGATCGGCATCGCGATTCTATTAACGCGGTACAAGCAAAAAAAAAAGCGGGAACCAAAACGTACTGGGAATTTTGATTGCCGATGGGTTTCGAATAACGATTGGCAAATTGTCCCTAGAAATAACTGGGAATCGAAACACTTTTCACACAGAATGCTTTAATCTTAAAATTCGGAGGATTTAAAAGCTAAGCAATAACCCATTTTACTTCGCTTTGAATCACATACTTAATAAATCATCTTAAATGAAGCCTTAATTTATTTCTTCGCTCATGTATGAAAAATGAGAAAAGATAAGTTGGGAAGAGCAACGAAAGTTAGGCAATTTGGAAGTCCTACAACTTCCCTATTTAAAAGAAAATACCTGATTGGTTTCAGGATTTTTCTTTTGGAGAATTCATAACTTTTTCTTCAGACCACTAACTAATCCCTGATAGGATATTAAAAACAGGATTCGCTTAAATAATGCAATGCACTCGATAAGAATATTACGAACTATTGATACCTGAAGTGTACACTAGAACTGCAGCCGCTTCTTCTGGGCCAGTCCATTGCCTCTTACGGTGGTCTCCACCAGCTTTCGCTTGAGCGGGGGCTTCTCGTCGCCGCCCTGCGGATTGGCGCCCTCCTTGGCGGCCAATATGGCCGAGGGCATGGGCAGCTTCGGACCCACCGTCGGAGCGGGTTTGTTGCCGAAATACGGCATACTAAGCGCCTCCCGGCAGGACACCCGCCGCAGCGGATTCATGGCAAACAGGCACCGCATCAGGTGGATCAGGTCATTGCCAGCGGCGGTAAAGATGTCCTCTAGCGGAGTGCCGGGAAAGTTTCTGAACTGCAGGTAGTCGTGCAGCTTGCCCAAATGCGGCCACTCCACATCCGAGGGGGTTCCCAGCGTGGCGAAGATCCTGGTCAGCTGGTCCAGGTCCGAGTCTCCAGGCATGAAGGGTACCCGCAACATCAGCTCGGCCAGAATGCAGCCCACGGCCCACATATCCACACCGGTTCCATATTGCCGGGCGCCGAACAGAAGTTCCGGCGACCGATACCATCGGGTGACCACGTGGTGTGTTAAAATGCGATTCGGCGAGCCGAACGACTTGGCCAGGCCAAAATCACCGATCTTTAGGACGCCGTCGCTGTTGACCAGCAAATTGTTCGGCTTCAAATCGCGATGGAGTATCCAATTGAGATGTAGATACTCCAAACCCTTCAGCGTCATTATGGCATAGGCCTTGATGTTCGCCTGAGTGAGGATAATCTTGGTATCTTTGATGATTACCTCCAGGTCGGTGTCCATAAAGTCAAAAACAAGCGAGACATTTGAGAGCTGGCCGAAAACGTCGACCAATCCAATTATGTTCTCGTGCTGCAGCTCCTGGAGGATCTTAATCTCCCGCAGAGCTGTCCTATTGATGCCGTCGCGTGCATCCTCGCGGGATCCCTTCTTGATCTTCTTCACGGCCACAATTTGACTAGTCACCGTGTCGCGGGCCTTATAAACTATGGCAAACTGAAAGGGAAAATCTTATTTATTTTAGGTTTTCGGGTTGGTTCTTTTTACTTTGCTTAACTCACCTGACCCTCGCCGAGGAAGGACAACTTGGCGTAGCGATCCTTCTTGTCGTTGAGGTTCGGTAGCATCGTTGCTTCTTAAGATTCATAAATAACACAAAAATAAAGAAATGCCGCGCGGCCAAAACAAAACAAATTTCGCACAAGTTATCGATGACCGATTACCAATAGACGTCGGCGGTTGTTACGCCATCAGTGTTCAAAAAAGGCAAGCTAGTTTTTAGGTCATAAGATTACAAAATTATATTTAATAGTGTAAACTAATTATGAACTATATATTAAAATTATATATAAAAAAAACAATCGACACAACAGATAATTTAACGAAAGATATATATATTTACATACAATCAAAATTATATATGTAGCCATATATGAGTTCGAAATAAAATTGCTAGAAAAATAGTAATAGTAGTTGTAATTTGGTTTTAATATAAATTTTTAAAGTGTAAAATAAAGTTATTTTCATAAATCTAGCTACTTTTAATTAGCTCCCACATCGACTATGCAACACTGTAGTAAGCCGGTGCTGCAACGCGTTGACAGTTCTGGCATTTTTCAACACCGGCTGCACCAAAAGGGAGCATTTTTTTACGAGATATAAAGTTTGCTTGTTTTTGTCCACTTAATTGAATAAAAGACTGGCAAAATGGACGTGCGCCCCAATCAGACGATCTATATCAACAACCTGAACGAAAAGATCAAGAAGGAAGAGCTGAAAAAGTCGCTGTACGCGATTTTCTCACAGTTCGGCCAAATCCTTGATATTGTGGCACTCAAAACACTGAAAATGCGCGGCCAGGCATTTGTGATCTTTAAGGAAATTGGGAGCGCCTCGAACGCCCTGCGCACGATGCAGGGATTCCCCTTCTACGATAAGCCCATGCAGATAGCCTACTCGAAGTCCGACTCGGACATTGTGGCCAAGCTGAAGGGAACCTTCAAGGAGCGACCCAAGAAGATCAAGCCACCAAAACCGGCCCCAGGTGCCGAGGAGAAGAAGTGAGTATTCTTTGGGTCAGTCAAGCTGCTGCTTGATCCTTAGGCTTTTCGTGTTTGTGCCCTGTCATGGCCCACCATTTTGTGGAGTTTTTAAGGCCTGCGACCGGTCTCTCGCACTTTGTGTCCAGTTTGGGACACCTTTTTTTTCACTCTTCAAGAAAGAGCTCTTACTTATCCTTAACCATTTTCTGCCACACAGGGACAAGAAGAAGAAGCCGAGCAGCGCCGAGAATTCGAACCCGAACACACAGACAGAGCAGCCGCCCAACCAGATTCTCTTCCTAACCAACCTGCCCGAGGAGACCAACGAGATGATGCTGTCGATGTTGTTCAACCAATTCCCTGGCTTCAAGGAGGTGCGTCTCGTGCCGAATCGCCACGACATCGCCTTCGTTGAGTTCACCACGGAGCTTCAAAGTAACGCCGCCAAGGAGGCGCTGCAGGGATTCAAGATCACGCCGACGCACGCCATGAAAATCACTTTCGCCAAGAAGTGAGCTCAGCGCTTACACAGACTGTGTGTAATTTGGGCGACTCGGATGTTCGATATCCAATATAATGTTCTTAATTTAAAGTATAGAATAAATCAATATATACCTACAATGGTAATAATGAATTAAACTAGTGGGAATAAGGATATATGTAAATGCATATGCTCTTTTATAAGGACTAGCAATGAATCTATTCCCCTCTTCTTCCGTTTCGTGAATGCCTCTAACACGTATTACAACAAAGCTGAGAAATAGTTGGAAAACGTCCGAATATCCACTAGTTTCGATAAGTTAAAATAAAGAGTAAAATTAAATTGGCAACTGATTATTTGTTTCCTTATTAAAACCCCCACACCAGAAAACAAAAACAATTGTACTGAGTTTGCAATCCCATATACTCTGTTTTGAAAAATCGATCGTAAAGCAGTTTAAAATAAATCTGTAAAAGTACCGCAATATGTAAATAAATAGTTTTAGGGTGTTGAAATTGGGTGACCACTCGAAATCCTGCACAGACGCTTTTGCGACTATCTGGCAGCTGCGTTAAGCGATCCATTTTGGGGCGGCCATTTTGTTTTGCTCCAAGAGAGGCGCCAAAATTGCAATATTCAGCTAAAATTGGCGCGAATTCCACTCTCCAAGCACGTTTTCGGACCTATAAAAGCCCGCATGGAACAGCGGAGGTTACCAGTGAAGCTCCAAAGGGTTGCCACGTTGCACGCGAAGTTCTTGAAGTTAACACCTTAAAACCGCAAAGTTCTTGATTAGATAATTACCACCTTTAAGCCGCAGTACTTCTAATCCGCGAAAATGTCTTCTGTCCGCACAATGAGCGATTATTACAAGAAGATCGAGTCGGCGGGGGACAAACTAGTCGTCTTGGATTTCTACGCCGATTGGTGCGGTCCCTGCAAGCAAATCGAAAGCACCGTCAAGTCACTGGCCAGGAAGTACTCGTCCAAGGCTGTCGTAATCAAGGTCAACGTGGACAAGTTCGAAGGGCTGTCGGAACGCTACAATGTCCGCAGCATGCCCACGTTCGTCTTCCTTAAGAGCAACCACCGCGTGGGCTCGTTTTCCGGTGCCGATGAGGACAAGCTCGCCAACATGATGTCCAAGTTGGTGAAGTAGTAAGCGGACAACCCTATCATTAGTATTTCGGAGCAGGCTCTCACCTAGATTCAAACCATAATTGTACTTGTCTTAACTTATGTTTTATGTGATGTATAGCTTGTAAGCGATGTGTGAGTGGGAGATCCGCGTGTGGATAATTTTAATAAAATTCAATAACTTAACGTAACCTAACCTCAATCTTGATATATGTATGTCTTTAGTGCGTGAAGGCGTGTCTGCGACACAACCTCGTAAGTCCTATGCTTGTAATCTTGTTTAGGGTCAACTCGAAACGCCATCAAAATTTTTAAAACGATTTGTGAGTGAGAGATGCGCTATCATTCTGAACACCTTTCAAAAGCAAAAATTTAACCTGACCTAACTTTAATTTTGATATATGTATATCTTTAATTAAGCTTAAGCACCTAGCAATTCGATCAATAAACTGTAACCACTCAACCTTAATCTTGCACGTCTTTTTTATGTGGCTGAAGGGGGTATTTTTCAGGCTAAGTAATAGTTTGAGAAGGAATCAAAAACCCAATTACCAAGTAACCCATGACATTTCACTTCGAAGTTTAGGTGTAAAGTCAGAAACCTATAGTGGCGACTAGTCAGTAGGCTTCGGGTATTCATGTCACTGGTGTTTCTCCTTTCGTTGGCACTTGCTAACAAATCTTAAAATAACACACATGAAAAAATCAGTTTCGTCAGTTGTATTTCGCTAAAAAAAAATAACTTTTGAAAACTGCTAAATTGCCCAGAGCCATTGGAGTGCTTTTTCCGCGACACACAAACAATAAGTACATCAATCAAATAGACCAATAAACACGAAACAAGTAGCACCAACCTAGAGCTACACATACGGACACCATAATGTCGTACCAGATCAAATCAACGCCGTTTTTCCGGCGGATGTTCAACAACAGCAAAAAGAACGGACAGTTGCAGAAGTTGCGGGACGAGTACGAAAGGATCCAGGAGTTCAACGATCGCACCCTCGAGATGAAGATGCGCGACCTGCGCCTCAAGCGGCTCTTCCGCGAAATCGAGGAAATGAAGGAGGGGGCGGGTGGTGCCGATGCTGATCCGGGCACTAAAGCTGCTCCAGGTGCTGGTGGTACTTCATCTCCATCCTCGCGTGCCAGGCGATCCCACGGCGGAGATGGACGCACTCTCAACCGGCGCCACTACTCGATGGGGAACAGTCTGCGGGAGCAACGGATCCACGACCTTCGCGTGGAGACCCTAACCCGTGCACGGGAGCTGGGCAAGGAGATCTCGCGCCGGAATGCTCTGATGGCCGAGGCCGGAACCGGGAGATTCCTGCGTAGCGAGATCCGGCTGACGGCCAAAATGCAGGCGGCGGAGGACGCCCGTCGGGATGCCGACGATCGCCGGGAACGGGCCGCCAAGCGCATCTCGTACGGCAACGACATGTCCCGCCAGAACATCCAGCGGCTGCTCCTTAGTCGCCAGCGGCGCCTCCTCGGCGGCAGTCGCTCCCCGGCGGGCTTTAATGAGGTGCCCCACCACCTGGACATGAGGTACTTGTAGCGCCCTAAAACATCTTACAGATTTATATCGCTTCCATTGGCTGCGTATTTTCTTGGTTGAGCATTTCAGGTTCCTTTTTATTTATTTTTGCATTTATTTTCCCACAGGCCAATCTTTCCAAACTTTCCTCTGAACTTCAATCAACTGCGGGACGAGCAGGAAGAGGCGGACGCACTGGAGGCGCAGCCCTCATGCTCCACCATTGAGGAGGAGCCCCCAATGACGTCCGAGGAGGAGCGGGACAGCGAGGAGCGTCGGATTCGAGAGCTTCGCAACCGGAATCCCGAATTGGCCGCAGAGCTCGAGCGCCGGCGGCGGCGACGGCAGGAGGACGACGAGGCCGAGGAGGAGGAGCAGCTGCAGCGGCGGCGACGACAACTCCGCCACGAGGACACCTCGCCCCTCCGGCTGACCCGCATCTCGCTCAGTTCGATCGGAAAGGAGAATGGTATCATGAACGCCAGCAGCGCCGCGGCTACAGCAGGCACCTCGCCAATGGATCTGAGGTGTTCCTATCGAGAGCAGGACGATGCCTCCGCGGACTCCGACCAGGAGATGCACACCGCACCGCTGGCCAACGAGGATCGCCTCGAAGAATCCCGATGTGCGCTCATCTCGTTTCGCCAGCCGCCGCGGGGAGTGCCCAAAGTGAGGGATGCTGAAAACGAAAACGAATCCCTGGACGCGCTTAACAACTGGCACAAGATTTCGCTGATGCTGCCCTGGTTCAAGGCCTTTCCCGACCTCAAGTCGTCGCCCACCCTCCGGATGGGCACCGATGACGCGACGAATTGCGAGCGAGTGGCGCCAGCAACTGGCGCGGATCCCATGTACTCCAACCAGTTTGGCGATGCCGACGCCCACGACGAGCAGGAGATGGAGGAGCAATCGTCGCCGTTTCCGCCGCCCGACCGCGAGTTTGTGCTCTCCACCTTCGAGTTCGTTGGGATTAGAGAGCGATAGAATTCGGTAGCACTCTCCACGTATTCTAGAGAAGAAGAGGTTGGTACTGAAACACAATCTTCCATGTGCTATTTACATCTATAATCAAATGGTTCATTCCAGGGGAACCGAACCTCCAGGCGCCTTTCGTAGCTACAAAACCATTTTTTAGCACCATCCGCAGTCTTTGGCAAAAAATGTGCTTTGTAACTGCATCGATACCCCGACGACTTCAAATGCCAACAAGCAAATCGTTTAAATATTTTTCGGCAAGAAAAAGTACTTTTCCCTGTTTTTCATTCGGTAAATAAATTCTGTGTAATAGGATAGAAAACACTTTGATTTTTTGTTCGGGCTTTGCCAAAAGGAATAAATAAAAACAAAAACGTTTTTGGACTTGTCTGTAAATAGTTTTACAATGCTTTACGATAACAAAAAGAATTGATAGCTTTAAAAAGTTTACTTTTTTTTTTTTAGAAATTTCTACTTTTTAAAAGCGAAAAAGTCCACATAGCTTAGTCAACTATAGAAAATTCTTCTCGCTCTTCATTCTTGTCCATTTCAATGTGCTCAGCTCGATCTTCATAAGTATTTTTTTGCTCTTCTGGATCATTGTCACCTTGTCGTTCCTTTGGTCCGCTAATCGGCTCTTCAGCCTCTTTGTCCTTCGCCATCTCCAGCTTTTCCAGAACCGACCGGTTATGAGCCTCTCTTTCCTCTCGGCTGGCATTTCTGTATATCTGAATCCATTTTTCCTGCTCTTTTCGGTAGGCTGGCATCCAAGCGGCCAGCGCTTCTAGGAGGCCAGCTTGAAAGGGATTCGGTAACTTGGGCAGCTGGTATTCCTTGTAGAAAGAGGGGGAGTAGATGATGTCGTCGAACGTCCACTCGAACTCTTCATCGTCCCAGGGAAACAGACGGGACTCCAGCATTTCGAAACTTTTAAAAAAGCAAAATTAGCAATAGCAGATAGCATATATGGGTTAAATCCCACTCCCACCTGGGCAAACGCTCTCTCAGGTAGCGAACTCTTCTTCCGCAGTTGTAGTCGATGGTCCTCTGGCTGTAGTGGTTGCTTTCACCAGCTAGATTCGCAGCGACCAGCATCTGATTGATTGTGGGGTCGAAGGATTTCGTTTGTGAGACTCTTAGAAAAAGTACGCCCTCATCCTCGTCCAATTCAGTGACCTCGGCGAAAAGATGGGCATTGCGGGTTAGGCGCCGAAACTGAGACGTACTGTCAGGTGACCAGTGGACGCCCAGTGGATGGATGTGCGAGAGAGTTCCCCGCGCAGCCAGGGGCGGCGCTTCCGTAAACCATTCGGGCAGGAATCTTAAGTCACCGGGCTGCACTTGAGCCGCCGATGCATAGTCCAAGTAGTATATGGAAACCCAGTCGGCATCTTTTGGCGGAGTGACCAATATCTTTGCTCTCCGCCATTGCGTGTTATGTTTTGCTGCGCATATGTAACCGGCTTTCAAGAAGTACTCCGCCATCCTGTAGCCGCTGACATCCTCAGTGTTATTATTATAAAATTGACTGTGGATGTTACAAAAAAGAGACATGTTGATTGATCTAAAGCATATTTGTTCCATGTGCTTACTTTATACGCAGGTTCATGTCTTCCAGAAAACAAATATCGTACATTGTGCCCACAAAATGAAACCAAAACTGAAACGGACTATAAACCTTGGGGGTTAGTAAAGAAAGAAATTTTAAAATCGCACATTAAATGGTTCTAGTTCCACCAACTTCGCAAATGGAGATTGTGATGAGTTCTTTTGCTCGGCAGTTGTCCTCCATGCTCAAAGTGGGAAGCTTCTTGCCTAGTTTGACGGCATCTCGGGGTCTGTCCACCATGAACACATTATCCCTCTTAAATTATAAGCTAAATATATATCTAAGCAAGTAGTGTTGGCTTTAGCTTACCAAACAGCTTTTGGGAAATGCAGCGCGGAGTTCGATGCGTTCCAAAAACCTCAACATTCGTTCCTCTGTCGTTCCTTCTTCGTTATCCTGATCCTTCACTGTAAAGTCCTCGATATTATTGGCAAAGGGATTTTTGTCGACTAAATCCTCCTCATCACTGTCAGGGTCGGGTAGTTCTATAACTTTCTCTAAGTCCGGTTCTTTGGGCGACTCTTCACCCAACGAAATGAGCCATTTCTGTAGGTATTCCTTCCTGCCGTCCGGAACTTGCTTAGTACTTCCGGTATTTAGCTTGGCTTTCGGGCTTACCACCTCTATGGTTTCTGCTTTGGTTGCGTTTAAAGCCATCTTATCCAGCAAACAAGGGAAACCGAGGTGGGAGTATTAAGTATGTTTACAAACTCTTTAAAAGGTTTCTTACCTGATCAATTTGATCTTCACATGTTTCTGCCATAGGTAAAAACGGCTGAGCAGCAGACTCCACGGAACTAAGTTGATCAGTTTTGGGTTCAGTACTAACCTAAAAGAGAAACATGCTTGTTTTTTTTTTTAATTTTTCACTCATATAAAACAGTTATTGACCGTATTTAGCTTTCCACACGAATTCTTAATAGTCGTTTGTTGGATACTATTTAGCCGCTTCATTTTAGCCGTTTCATTTTGGCGCATGACATCCTTCACGAGTTTTCTTACTCGAGTTTTTAGGGGCGTAGTGTCGGTCAATTTACCCTTCATAGTTTTTTTTCTTAAAAAATTGGCAAGTTTTTGTTTTCCAATAACTTGGCTGGGAATGAAACCGTAATTTAAACTGGCGCCGGCTCTGGCAACGCTAGCATTAATTGGGAAATGGGGATGGACAAATCGATCGATGGTTGCAAAGCTTTATTCGATAGCTAACCGCTAGACTTATCGAAACTGCTGTTTGCTGCGTTTGTTTACGCACGTGTTGCCTTAATTTTTTTTGTTTTTTACTGGATTTTTAATAATCCTGGTCAGAAAATGGATAGCGAAAATGACGACTACGAGATCACCGATTCGGAGCAGGAGTACGATAAGGAGGAGCGTGAGCTCCTGGAGGATTTGCGCAAACAGCGCAACAAACGCCAGCAGCAGGATCCCCACCAGGAAGTCCTGGCGTTCAGTGACTCGGACGATGACGATAATGTGGCGGAACTGATGCGAGACAGCGACATCGAGGGTGCCGAGGACGATGACGGCGATCTGCCGAACACAATGGACTGGGGTAGCAAAAGAAGCACGTACTACAACACGGATTTCGTGGACCAGGACTACAGCAGCTACAATGCCCAGGAAGAGGAGCAGGCCCGCGCCGAGGAGGAGGAGGCCAAGAAGATTCAGTTGCGCCTGGCCAAGCGGCTCAGCGAGGCTGACTTTCAGCTGGACGATGTCCAGGCACCTGCAGCAAGCAGCGACGAGGAGGAAGCTGCCGAGGTCACCAAGGTGACAACCGATTTGACCGGATTAACGCCACGCGAACGCCTGCAGCTTCTGCAAAAGGATTCACCGGAGTTCATAGGCCTCACCCAGGACTTTCAGCAGCATCTGCAGGAGGTCAAGGACCTGATCACACCGGTTCTTAACTACGTGCGCAATCACGATGTTCCCATGGTGCCGGCCCTCAAATACGCCAGTCTCTACCACACCGTTCTCTCCACCTACTGCTCCAATGTGGCCTTCTACTTGCTGCTAAAGGCGCGCCGAAGCAACGTTAAATTCCACCCGGTGGTCAAGCGACTGGTGCAGCTCAAGCAACTGCGGGAGCAGCTGACGCCGCGCTACGAGGAATACATACGGCCGCAGCTGGAGGCTTTGCTGGAGCGGATTGCGGACGGCGATGCCTTCACCGTGCTGGATGTGGAGCAGCGCAAGGCCAAGCTGCAGATCCTTAACAAGTACAGCAACGGCGAACTGGCGGAGGTTAGCTCGGGTGACGAGGAGGAGAAGAAGCAGAAGGATCGCGAGGACAGAGAGGAGCAGGACGAGGAGGACGCAGAGGAAGGTGAAGAGCAGGAGGAGGAGGTCGCCCGACGCGGCATCACCTACCAGATGGCGAAGAACAAGGGTCTCACGCCGCACCGCAAGAAGGAGCTGCGCAATCCGCGTGTCAAGCACCGCGGCAAATACCGCAAGGCGCTCATCCGGCGCAAAGGAGCCGTGCGCACGGTGCGCAAGGAGCTCCAGCGCTACGGCGGCGAGATGTCCGGCATTAAGGCCACCGTCAGCAAGAGCGTCAAGTTCCGCGTATAGTTCAACTAGCCATTATCTAATAAATCGACAACTATCCCCTTGTTTTAATCAACGCTGTTTTGTACATTTTATTTCGGTTTCGGTACATTTAAAGTCATCTACGTGGCATTTTCTGGCATTCCAGGATTCACAGACATCGGGATTTCTCAATTACAGGGCTAACATTTATAAAACATGTACTTATATTCATAGTTTCTGTTTTTTTTCTCTCGACAACAAACTGAGATGTTCTTTTTATTCTTTTGATTATTCAAAAAATAAGTGTCTTAGTTCTGCTTGATTTTGTACAATTAATTTGGTTCAGTTTGTGTTGCCTAAATCTTATTATCTAAAATCCAAATATTCGTGTTTGAATACCAACTAACAGCTGCGGTAAACAATGGCTCACTGCCGGCTTTGCCGGCGGGCTAACGATGGCCTATTCTTTCAAGAAGAGCTTCCGGAAATCGTCGTTGGACTTCGGCGCTGCAGCAGCGGATGAGTTCTCCTCCTTGCTGCCTGCTCCGTTCGCCTCTGGCTCCGAGGAGTCATCGGCGGCCAAGGAGGTAGACGAAGAGGTCGGCTCGCCGGCGCCGTCTTGCTCCTGGGCGACCTCCAGGCGGCGCTTCTTGGCCGCGGCCTCCTGGCGCACGACTGTCGACGGGATCAGCGAGGTGGGCACACGTCTTTTGGGCGCCACACTGGGCTTGGGGGCATCGGAGGCGGAGCCTCTGGGCGGTGGATTCGAAATAGCCACGGAAATCTGGAAAATCCAAGCCATTAAAGGGCCAAGTAACGAAAACGAAAGCGGCAAGCACTCACATTCATGCCCTTAAATAAATAACCATCCTTTCCAGCCACCGCTCTTTGAGCTTCTCCCGGCTGCTCGAACTCCACATAGGCAATGCCCTTGAACTGTTTGTTTCTATTGAGGAAAAACACATTAAATATTTATAAGACGGAATACTTGTCTTAAACTCACTGCTTGTGGACCAGACGCACATCTTTTATGTTGCCAAATGGCGCGAACAGCTCCTGCACTTCGGCACTGGTGGACGCCGGATGGAGGTTCCTCACAAATATCTTGTTTAGCTCTATACTCTCTGCAAAGCGAAACTTATTTAGTCGGATTGTGTGGATGGTGTTAACGACTGGAACCTTACGCGAATACTTGAAGTTGCTTTCTCGAGGCTCTGCTGGCGGAGGAGCAGTGAGTCTGGCCTTTGAAGCTGGCGGCGGTCCATGCGGTGATTCGTTTCTGGGAGCGGACGGAGGATGCGGCCTCTTGGTTCCCCGCTGCGTCTGTTGCTGCTGCTGATGCGCCTGACGACGCCGCTGCTCGCGATTCAGGGGCTCGCGATTTTGTTGCGGCTGCGGGCGAGTCTGTTGCTGGTGGGAATTTGGTTTGCGACGCAGGTTGTTGTATTCGCGCGGCAAATCGAGGGCCTGACAGGCCGCTATCGATTCGTAAGTACCATAGCAGCGCTCGTAACGTCGGTACAGCTCCTGGACCACAAGGCCGTTCTCCAAGGCGGGCTGCGACAGAGCTTCCCGGAGTATGTCCCGTGTGCCCTGGCCGGCATTGTACTCGCTCTCCATCTGAGCGTAACCCAACCAGAGCAGTCCGCGATGTGAGCTGCCGGGATAACCTGAAAGAGGAGGGGATGGGGAAGTAATTAGATTACCTCAACAGTTTGGTGGGCGACCTTTACTCACCCATGATCTGCCGCCAAATGTCGGAGCCATTCGCTGGACTTGAAAGGTGTGTGTACTCCACTTGAGCCCACAGCTGCAGCACCTCGTACCTGGTGTCCGCCTCGTCGCCATACAGCGCGGACAGCTCCTCCCAAACGCGGGCGAAGGCAGCGCGCAAGCTGGCCGCCTGTTCCTCGTCCCCGGCATTCGTGTTGCGCACGCGATAGGCCAGGTAGTCCAGATGCAACTCCACCGTCATATTCATGTCGGGCACTATGCGCTCCAGTATTGTGCGTATCTGCTGATCGACTTCGGGCTGCTCGAAGTCTGCGCGCTCCATTAAGTCGAGAAATCTGTGGTTGAGCCGCACACTCGGACGACTTCGTACGCCTCGCTTGGCCAAATCGAGGGCGGTGCTGCTCAGGAAACCCTTGCTCAAGCGACTAGCTCGCCTGGCTGCCAGTTCAGCATTCTCCTCATCCTCTTCGATGCTCGATGCATCGCCCTGTATGAATTGGATGTAGGATATCCACAGGATGTCGGCGATGGGAAACTTGGCCACCGAGCGCTCGAATATGAACCGGATAACCGCATTCTTCACATCGTCCTCCAGGGACAACGTTTCCACTTCGGCTACATGGCTCTTGTGTATCTTCGACCAATCCCAGTCGTTGTGCTGCGCCTTCATGTCGTCCAGATGACGCTTGAAGTTATTGACGATGGGCTTAATAGCGCCGCGCTGCTCTTGGCTGCAGTTCCAAGTGACGCAGTGCTTCCGCAGAAGTTCTTCGAAGGCAGCGGACTCGTTTTCGTCCCTGATTGTGGCGAGCAGCGGGCGCAACTTGTCACCGAAGTCTGGACGCTCTACGTCGTAGTCCGCCAGGAGTTTCGCCCACAACACATGGTTATCCACGTTTCCCTGGTCCACCAGGTAGGCTATTATGAACTCGGAGAGCGGTATGTCTGTTTAGCAATATGTTAATTGGGTACTTCAATTTAATTCGATTTTTTCACTTACTGTAATAGTAGCTCAATGCTTTGGCGCAGCTATCCTCGAATTCCTTGCGCTCGTCGGACGTTTGTGTGACCACCAAACGAGCCTTCAGATATTTTAGCCAAATGTGAGCTGGCACAGTGGCGGCTTTTTCCAGCGAAAGCACCGAAGACTCGATCCTCTCCAGATCGTTAAGTTTGCTAGACGGTAATTTACAATAATTGCACATTGGTAACAAGATTATAGCCAATATTTTAGACTTACAAGGCCAATTCGCTGATGTTCACTAGCTGGGCAAACTGTTTGTTGGGCAGAGCCATTAGATCCTGGTAGGAACGCTCCAGCTGGCCAAATGGCCTGTCACTATCGGTATCGCTGTTCATTTCGCTGGCCGAGTCCTCAATCACGCCCACATCGTCGCTGCTGGAGGATTCTTTGTCGGCCTCCTCCTCCACCGAAGGCTCATCGTCCGAGGAGATCAGCTCGATGGTGTCCATCGTGCCGGCGGACGAAGATGGCCATGGTTGTTGGCGCAACCGCAGACGCTCGTCTAGCTTTTGCTCTTCATCCTCGTCCTCGTCGTCGTCCTCCTCTTCCTCCTCCTCGTCCTCCACCTCCTCGATCTCCTCCTGCTTCGGCGGGGACTTTGCCTGATCGGGGAGCACAATGAGATCGTAGTCATCGTAGGTATCATCGTCCAAATCCTGCACCGGCATCTCGTCCAGCTCCTTCTCCAGCTGCTTTTCCAGCTAAAAAATATGAGTTCGTATCAGTAGAAGGAAATCTTAGGGTTCACATTACTCACCTGCTTGTCGCCGTCCATGTTCTTTGCTTTGCTTCCCCAGAAACTATTCGGTTTTCTTTTACAATTTGTTTTTCCTGGCAAATGAGGTAAATAACAAATAAAAAACACAAGACCCCCACTGCAGGGTTGGCCAAACAAATATCGCGTTATTCGATACTTATTAGTTTCCCCCTCTTTTTCAGGGTAACGTTTATCAAGAAGGCTCTTGCGCCAAACAATATATTTTCTATGTCTTTCTGTTAATCCGCACACTAAATATTTGTTCGGTTTTATCGTGAAAAAAACGAGAAATGATTGAATACAATTTCATTTATTTTTCGACTGCTGGATAGTCTATGAGACCAGACTTTCAAAGAAGGAATTTGCCCAATCAGCGGATGACAGGGCTTGTGACAGTCTGGCAGCTCTGGCGAAGGCAACTAAATTTAACAATTAAACCATTAATAATATTATTAATTTTGTATACTCTATTTTTATTGAGACTATTTGCCACAAAATTAAATACAAATTAAGATTAATAAGAAAGAGTTCGTCTTTTTGTAATACATTTTTTAAAAATTTGTAGATCTCCCATATGTATTTTGAATCACATACTCTTAAAAATTGCCAACAAAAATAATGTGCTGCAAGAAGGAGCAATATCTATAGAAGGGATCGTTGTTTTGTTAATACCTTCCGTAATTTTCTGCATCAAAAAATATTTAAAACAAGTATAAGCACCCGAATTATATAATTTCCGCTTAGCCAATCTTGACTGTACCCACCAAAGACGCAGTGGTATTTCCGACGCCTGGTCACACCGCACTCGCATTCCCGCCAAAAATCCTTTGCATACGGCGTGCAATATTCGCGATCCGAGTTTTGTTTGCATTTGTGTTTGCTTTCGAACGGATCGGAGCTGCTATATATCAAAAACTGCTAAGAAAAAGCGATCCAAATTATAAACAGAAGTGGAAACAATGGCCCACGATGGGGAACAGTTCATCAAGGACATTCAGCGCGAATATGTGGACTTCCTGGACGATGAGGAGGATCAGGGCATCTACGCGGGCCACGTAAAGGACATGATCGCAGAGAAGAGCAAGCGCCTGATCGTGAACGTCAACGATCTGAAGCGCAAGAACCCTCAACGAGCCATGGGACTGCTGAGCAGCGCGGCGGACGAGCAGTTGGCCTTTGGGCGCGCTCTCAAGGAGTACGCCTCCACAGTGGATCCTGGCTATGCCAAACTGCACGAGGACCTCTTCGTGGGCTTCGAGGGCTGCTTTGGCAACCGGCATGTGACGCCGCGCTCCCTCACCTCCATGTATCTGGGCAACATGGTCTGCGTGGAGGGCATTGTGACCAAGGTCTCCCTGATTCGTCCGAAAGTCGTGCGCAGCGTCCACTATTGTCCCAATACCCGCAAGGTGATGGAGCGCAAGTACACCGATCTCACGTCCTTCGAGGCGGTGCCCTCGGGTGCTGCGTATCCCACAAAGGACGAGGATGGCAACCTCCTGGAGACCGAGTACGGCTTGTCCGTCTACAAGGATCACCAGACGCTGACCATTCAGGAGATGCCGGAGAAGGCGCCGGCGGGCCAGCTGCCCCGCTCCGTGGACATTGTGTGCGACGATGACTTAGTGGACCGCTGCAAGCCCGGCGATCGAGTACAGATCGTGGGCAGCTACCGCTGTTTGCCGGGCAAACGCGGTGGCTACACCTCCGGCACCTTCCGCACGGTCTTGTTGGCCAACAACATATCGCTGCTGAGCAAGGACAGCAATCTGGACATCTCGCGCGAGGACATAATGCTGTGCAAGAAGCTGGCCAAGAACAACGACATCTTTGAGCTGCTCAGCAAGAGCTTGGCACCGTCCATTCACGGACACGCGTACGTCAAGCAGGCCATCCTCTGCCTGCTCCTCGGCGGCGTGGAGAAGGTCCTGCCGAACGGAACGCGTCTGCGTGGCGACATCAATGTCCTGCTCATCGGCGATCCCTCGGTGGCCAAGTCGCAGCTGCTGCGCTACGTTTTGAACACGGCTCCTCGGGCGATTCCCACCACGGGCAGGGGTTCCAGTGGCGTGGGTCTCACGGCGGCGGTGACAACGGACCAGGAGACGGGCGAGCGGCGTCTGGAGGCCGGCGCCATGGTCCTGGCGGATCGCGGCGTGGTCTGTATCGATGAGTTCGACAAGATGAGCGACATCGATCGCACGGCCATTCACGAGGTGATGGAACAGGGCAGGGTCACCATTTCCAAGGCGGGCATCCATGCCTCTCTAAACGCTCGCTGCTCCGTTTTGGCCGCCGCCAATCCGGTCTATGGAAGGGTGAGTGTCTTCAGGCTGATCCTTTATTAGGTTCCTCTTTAATAAATTGAACAATTAATTTCAGTACGATCAATACAAAACGCCCATGGAGAACATTGGGCTGCAGGATTCGCTGCTGTCGCGTTTCGATTTGCTCTTCGTCATGCTGGATGTGATTGATAGCGACGTGGATCAAATGATTTCGGACCATGTGGTGCGCATGCATCGCTATCGCAACCCCAAAGAAGCCGATGGCGAGCCACTTTCCATGGGCAGTTCCTATGCGGATTCGATGTCCTTTGTTTCCAGCACTGATGAGGTGCGTTTCCCACAACTTCTTTTAAAATGTATTGAATTTTAAAAGGCCCTTTTTACTTTTGCAGAAAAAGGACACGGAGATGTATGAGAAGTACGATGCCCTGCTGCATGGCAAGTCGCGCCAGCGCCACGAGAAGATCCTGTCCGTGGAGTTCATGCGCAAGTACATCCACATTGCCAAGTGCATGAAGCCCAAGTTGGGCGAGCAGGCTTGCGAGGCGATTGCCAACGAGTATTCCCGCCTGCGCTCGCAGGAGGCCGTCGAAACGGACGTGGCGCGCACTCAGCCGATAACGGCGCGTACCCTGGAGACCCTCATCCGTTTGTCCACGGCCCATGCCCGGGCACGCATGTCCAAGTCGGTGACCATCGAGGACGCCCATGCGGCCATTGAACTGGTGCAGTTTGCCTACTTCAAGAAGGTGCTGGAGAAGGATCGCGGCAGCAAGCGGCGCCGGAACAGCGGATCCGAGGAGGAGGACAACGAGAACGGCGAGGCGTCCAGCCAGCGATCGCCGTCGCGACGCAGCAAGCGCACTCGCACCGCTCCCGTGGCCGGCGACAGCGACGAGGAGGACATCAAGACACCGCAGCCAGATGCCGGCGACTTAACGCGCCGCGAGACGCGTCGTTCGCTGCCCGCTCGCTCCTCCTCGCAAGCGGTGACCTCCAGCGAGGAGCAGTCGGTGGCCGACACGCCCGCCTCCTCGGAGCCAGCCACCATCAGCGAGTCGCGGCTGGGCGAGTTCAAGAACAGCCTGCAGCGGCTGTTCCGCGAGGCACGCGAGCAGAGCCTGCCGCTGGCCAGGATCACCGCGGCCATCAACCAAGGCAGCCAGGAGCCGTTCACCAGCGGCGAAGTCGAGGCCGCCGTCAATCGGATGACCGAGGACAACCAGATCATGGTGGCCGACGACATTGTCATTCTCATCTAATCTCACATTCCACCAGATCACCATTTTTCATCTGCTCACTATTGTAACCCTCATGTATTTATTAAGTTTTATTTTTGTTTAAATTTATACGATAATAAACATTTTGGAATTCTCCTTGGAACTTACTCTGGTTCAATTTGGTCCTCCAAAACAAATAATGAGAGGCCTTTAAAGTATAAAACAATCTTTAAGGTAATGTATAGATTTCTTATATTTGACAGTCATATTTATAAACTATTTATTTTAAACGATACACAATGTTTCACAACAACTTTTAAAAGAAACAAAATGATGGTAGAAAGAACTGGCTTTGAATCACGTAGTTCATCCCATAATATTTTGGAATTGAGACGAGGTTGCGGTTTCATTAAAGGTTTTCCACATGCATGACCACCAAATCATAATCTTTGAAATACAAACTCTTAAGTTAATTTTAAAATTCAGTTAGACAAATTCGTATTATTTGAATAGGTTGAACCATTTTATAGCTTTCATATTTGAGACAGTTAAGGGGCGTGAGCATTGTTTTTAGGGAATCTTTGCAGTTGTAAACGTTTCGAATAGATTTGAAAATATGAAGTGGGCATCGCATCGATACATTTAATACTTGGCTTCTACTAACATCTTTCGGCATCGGCTTCTGCTTTCCGTTTTCTTTTTTGTTTGTTTGTTTGCGATTATGATACAATTAAACTAGACACAAATACAGCAACTAATCTCCGGATAAAACTTATGTACAATGATAAAAAGCACCTCCCCCCAAGGATTGCAAAAAAAAAGCCACAATCAACGCACGCAGGCACACAATCACAGGATAACAGACAGACAGGCGGGAATCCTTGGGCGGATATGGAGCAGCCAAAAGGAGAGGGATTGGCAGGGGACATGATTTAGCTAGTTGGCCGCAGCAAAGATCAGAGGTTCACAACGTTCTTGAGATCCGGCGGCAGCAGGCCCTTCATGCACTCAATTTGCGCCCGTATCTGCTGCTGGGTGCCATTGATGCCCTCCAGCTGCGTGGCCTTGTCGCCATAGAGATTCAGTTTATGCTTGAGCTTGAGTATCATGTCGATGATCTCCACCTCCTGTTTGTCGTGGGCCCAGTGCTCCAGATTCGCCTCGGACAGGGCCTGCAGCTGGAGGTCCTGCAGCGTTAGTTGCAGCTCGCGATGGCGCGCCTCGTACCATCCGCGGAAGTTGGGCGACCGGAAGAAGCGTCGGTACAGGCCCTTCCAGTCACCCTTCAGCGGCGACGTGAGCTGCGGTCCAGCTGCTTCCAGAGTGGCCAGAAAGTCGTCCAGCTTGAAGCTGCTGGCATTCGGCGCCGACTTAAACGGACTGATGTCCTTCTGCAGCGGCATCAGCGAGCCCATGTAGCGCTCGAGCGGTATCATAAAGCTCTGGGTTAGCTCCAGCAGATGGCGTCGTATCAGAGCGGTCTGCACGTGCTCCGGCCGTTTGGTCTTCATGCCCAGCAGCACCTTCTTTATCAGCGCCTTGTCCTTTTTCAGATACGGCTTGTATCTGCTGTGCAGTCCCGAGGACGAGGCATCTCCCGAACCGTTGTTGGAGCTTCCATTCAGTCCCGCGCCGGACTTAAGGGCTCTGCCAGCCAACTCCGTTGAGCTGGAGAACGAGGTAGCCGATGCAATGTTCCTGGCGTGTTTTTGGCCCATCAGCAGCTGCTGTTGCTGCTGCATGTTCTTCTGAAAAAGAGAGAGATGGAGATACGTTTACTTAAAGGGTCTTGGTAGCTACAGCATTATAGCATGCCCACCTGATTGTCCACCAGTCTGAGCATGTGCGGCCAATCCTTGAGCAGTTTGACGAAGAACGGATTGGTCACGCCCAAAATGCAGGCGGGAAGTGTGGTTTTGTTGGTGCACTCCTGCGTGAACTCACGGAACTCGCTGTCGTGTATGGTGAAGTAGGGTCGTGCCTCGGCACAGTACTCCAGCGGAGCAATCAGCGCCAGGAGGGTCTGCACCATGTGCGAGCAGTCGGCGGGTGAGGTGCCCACCACCACAATGGGCTCGGCGGTGATCACGAGCTCCCATAGCGTGTACAGTTGCTCCATGACAAAGTCCAGGGAGCGGAAGAGCTCGATTTCGTTGACGGAGGCGAGCACTTTGGCCGCCGGACAAACGGCCAAGGCAGGCGTCGATTCGCCCGAGCTTGGGTTACCATCGGCAGTGGATTTCCTACTGCTGGTGGTGCGGGGAATGCAGATCTGGTAGCTGCAATCGAGCAGGCGCAGCTGGAGGGGATTGCCCACTCGCAGGCCAGGCCACTGGCGGTTGATCTGATCGCTGGCCAGCCGCAGGACATCGGTGCCCTCCTCAAAGTAGCGCGGCGCCAACTGGGACAATATGTCGTAGTACAGATTGAAGAACGGCAGCCGTGTAATGATTATGAAGCTCTTCTGGAAGTAACCCCGCGGCAGATTCGCATCCCGCTTCTGCCGGAAGTAGACAAAGCCCCAGTAGTGTGAACTATCCTGCCGCAAGGCCGGGGAGCACTCCGCATTGTATCCTGGCAAGGATTCCCGCCGTGAAGTGCAGCGCAATCGCATGTGGAACTTGGTGTCGCCCATGCAGCCGGAGTTCGAGTCCGGAAAGGCCATGTAGCAGATGTTGCTCACCTCCTGGTCGCTGGGCATGAACTCGGGGGGATACACGTGCTCCAGCGCCTGGCCAAGATTCAAGTCGAAGGTGACCACGCAGAAGCAGTGCATCCATTGCGAGAAATTCAACCAGTCGGTGGTACTTGGCTGCGCATTCGAATTGCTGACATCCACATCCAAGTCTTCGTCGCGTTTCTTGTCCTTAACGTTGATGTCCTGCGATGGCGCCATGTCCTTGATCCTTGCATCCGCGCTCATTCTATATTTTGTTGATATTTACATAAAAAAATAACAAAAACCTTTGCCTGCGACATTGACAAGGGGAACCAGAGGTGGGCGATTACTGCTACCTGTTCACCGTGACCGTTATCATCACCAGTCACGAGATTTTACAATTGATTAACTTGTTGTTACCAATACAATACAAGCCGAACTGCGATTTCTACAATCCTATGTTTTTTTTGTGCAATTGTCCATCATTTCTAGCTGCTCATTATTTCTTCAGTTTTATATATGTTATCACCATTTGTCACAGCTTCGAAGACTTACTCATCTCTGTGTTTTGATTTAGCATATCAAAACTTTCACTTTTTGTTGTTATTTATTATGACTTTCCAAAGGCGTTGCCACTTAGGTGGAATAATTGTTGGGTAAAAGGAGCTTGACCATGGGTTAAATATAAAAGAACAGATACAAGAAACATCTCTACAATATTCTTTTTTAAGAGTAGCAATAAATTTTACCTGGAAATAAGCAAATATAAAAAAATCGACCTCGAAATCAATCAGATTCTAAGTGGAAAGGTTTCGTGCCTTGGAAGCTTAAAAAAATGGTACAATTTCAAATGTTGTCTGTACGAAAATACTAGCTTGTCTCATAAAATCTCCAAACCTGGCGATAGTTAGCTAAACTGGCATCACTGCTAGTGATGTGCAAGTGCGCCCAGCAACATAGAGTTTATTTTTGAAATCTTTGTCAAAACAAAACAAGCTTAGGTTGCATTTCTTGCAGTAAACACAACAACCATTTAAATATTTCGTTCTTCTATTTTTGTAATTCTAAATCAGTAATATTGGAGCTGTTTGTGAGAAAAGATTGGTTGTAATCGAATCAACGAAAGCCAAAGGCATTTCCCGCCAAATAAGCGGCGTTCATTGATAAAATTGCGAAATGCCAATTGCGGTTTTTAAATCCGTACGCGAAGTGAGCAGTGAAGATGCGGTGAGTACTGTGCCTATATACATTGATATTCAGATATATATAGCTCCTGGTCGTTAGGTGCATGTGGCGGAGAATCTGCTGAAGGAGAATGCGGGCAAGAAGTGGCGAACCAAAGCGCCGGGTGAAAAGTCGGCCTACGTAATTCTGGAATTCGAGGATCCCCAGCAGATTACCGGCATTGACATTGGCAACGAACATGCCGCCTTTATAGAGGTTCTGGTCAGTAGGACTGGATGTCAGGCGGACGACTTCAAGGAGCTTCTGCTATCTAGTTCGTTTATGACTCCCATCGAGAGCAAAAATTCGAGCAATCAAAATCGGGTTCGCTGTTTTAGTGGTCCTGCTTTGGTGGAAAGTGTACTGCCGGAGAAATGGAAGCTGCTTAAGATTGTCTGCACGCAGCCTTTCAATAGACATGTCCAATTTGGCCTTTCCTTTGTCAAAGTTCACGTGGTGGGTGCTCCGCCAGCTCCTGCGAAAGTCAAATCCCTGCTGCCCCAGGGAATGATGCAATTCGGGGCCTTTAAGCTACGCGAGGAATCCCCGGACTCGGAAACGGACAACCAGGTTAACAGGTTTCAGCGCTGGAAGAAGGAGACACATCAGCAAACGCCAGCCGTTTCCACAGCGGCTGCCATTCGGGATGCGGGCTCCTCAGCCTCAGCCTTGAGAAGATTAAGTGTTGGCAAGGTTTCAGGGCTGGCTGCATCGCCATTGCAGTCTCCAAAACCCTCACCTTCACCATCGCCAATTCCCAATTCTCTGCGTTCGGAATCTCCGCCTCCTTCAGATGCAAAACCTCTCGATCGCAATCGATCTTCCCTTCTATTTGGCGAGGACGATGACGACGAGGCTGCCGACGAGGGAAATGCCAAGAAGCAGCGTCTGAGTAAACATCTAGAGGCCGACAAGGATCGACGGCGATTAGAGCAGGAAAAGGAGAAGGAGCGCAAAAGAACAAGTCTAGCAGGCATTCCTTGGATAAATCTACCAGCAAAGAGGATACATCCTTCTCGAAAGAAGAGAAGTCATCCAAGGAGCACAGATCCTCCTCCAAAGAAGACAAATCAAAGATAAAAGAGGAAAAATCCTCACCAAGGGAGAGCAAATCAGCAAAAAAAGAGGAAAGGTCCCATTCAAAAGAGAATAAATCTGGCAGGAAGGAGGCAGAACGCCGTGAATCAAAACACAAAAATGTTTCGGGGGCCAAGGAGAGTCCACGTCAATCAACCCAAAAGCGACATTCATCGCCTACCGCAGGAGATTCTACGCGCGCCAAAAAGCAGAAGGTTGCGGATAAACCAATCCAATATCGTCCCTTTAATCAGCTGCTGAAAGGAGTGGTGCTGGTCATTAGTGGCATACAGGTAAGGATATTTAGCTATTTTAAGAATAAGTCGTACAACCTATTTTAATCATTTCAGAATCCCGATCGTGCAGATTTACGCTCGAAAGCAACCGCACTGGGTGCCAAGTATAAAGCTGATTGGGAGACGGGATGTACTCACCTCATGTAAGCTGGATATTCTTTTGGCAAACGTAGACTTGTTCTAACTCCAAATTTTTAATCCAAAATAGATGCGCCTTCAAGAATACTCCCAAATACAATCAAGTAAAAGGCAAGGGCAAGATTGTGACTCGCAGTTGGATTGAAAAATGTTATGATTTGAAGAGGTATCTTCCCTGGAGACGATATGCTATAGATACAAAGGATCTTGGGGAGCCAGAAAGCGATGAGGAGGTGTGCGATGAGGCCAATAAGCCAAGTTCCCGTCGTGAGTCCAGCGAGACGGATGTGGAAATGCTTCAGGACATCCAGGTGAAGAGCACCAATAATGCAGATATTAAAGTTGAAAAGAATGTGGATATAAACCAAAATGCTTCCTCGGGCATTGACACAGAGGATGAACTGGAGCGGGTCACTCAAGGTTAGTCAGCTATTTCCTCTACTCCCAATCCCCTCCTAAGTACATAATTCTAATATATCCTTCAGAAACCAAAAAGAAGACCAAACTTAAGACTCCGGTCAAGTCTGAATCTCGTGACGAGTTCGACGCTAGCACAGATGAAGAGGATTATCTGGTGCTAAAAAAAAAGCAGTAGGCTTCTACTGTTATTCATACCTTTTGTATACCTATCTATGTTTAAAATTAATTTTGGTTAGTCTTGGACTCTTGTAAGCCCTCTTTTGGGTTTTGTACTAAAATGTTTGGTAATATTTCATATTCAGTAGAACAACTCATATAATTTTTGTTAATTAATAATCAACAATCAAGAAAAATTCGTCGAATTTGGATTTTAATTTTGGTCATTTTTCTGTAAGGAGAATTTTGGATGTGTTGTTTAAGTTGCCGAAAAAATAAATCGAAGTAAAATAAAACTATTGAATGCTAATATGTAAATTTAAATTTTGTCCGATAGTCCATCTCTTGCATGAGCTTAAGGATAATTTTCTTACGCACTTTTTTATTTTTTAAGGATGGCCAGCCAATAAGTATACTGTAAAAATTGCGCGAATATTATTTATCCCAAAAAACTATGCTTTGAAATTTTAAATAAAACGGGGTTGACAACTGTAAAAACCGTTTGCAACCCCCCAAAACAGGTGGAAAAGCAACAGCTGTCTGTATTTGACAGCAGCGCTCTCCTGCGCTCTCTTCTTGCCGTTTTCCGTTAACGGTGAAAAACTCTCTCTTTGTACGACAGTCGTGTATTTGCTGTCGAGCAAGTAGAGAGCATCTTCCTTTGGTAGTTAAAAAATCAACGCCATTGTTTATTTATGGTAACTATCTATGGGTACCACTAGGAACCTTTCAATGGGCTTTACGAAAGCCTCCTGGTTTTCTCAAAGAACCTAACGACATTGTGTTCCTGAGTTTCCACTCCCACGTTGGAGCGAATAAAAGAGAAGAAGTGAAAATCCCTGGCAATTTGGAAAATCGATACGATTGAGCCATAATTAAAAGTATGCTGATAGCTTGCACTCCGCCCTTTTCTTTTTAGAGTGTGTCAGTTATTGGAAAATTAAGAAATTAAACGCTAAAGCATCCGGACATTGAAAGCACAGGTAAGCGGTCGTTCTGTACACGCAGAGAAAAAATATAAACCAAATCATTTTTAATTTCCATAGTAGTTTACACTTCAGGGAAATTAAAGTTTTTTAAAAGTCTTTACCATTAAATTACCTTTGGTAACTAAAAATAGTTCTTAATATTTTAATCAATTTCTGTAAAAGTTTTGAACATTTATTGAATAGCTATTTAACTATTTATGAGGTTTAAAGGTTAAATTGTTGAAAGAAGATTTTGAATCTATTATAAAGATCTAAACTAAAAAAAAAAATCATTAACAAGAGATTTGCATAATCTAAACAGATAATCCATTGGCTATATCTTTTCTCTGTGAAAAAAATAGTAGTACCACTTTTACGATGATTCCTACCCGCAGATTAAGACCAGAGAAGCAACTAACCAAAGGCCAACATGGGTAACGAGACCTCCCTGCCCATGGACATGTGCTCCAATTTCGATGCGGACGAGATCCGAAGACTGGGCAAACGGTTCCGAAAGTTGGATCTCGACAATTCGGGGGCCCTGAGCATAGATGAGTTTATGTCGCTGCCTGAGTTGCAGCAGAATCCGCTGGTTCAGCGAGTGATTGATATTTTCGATGCCGATGGCAACGGGGAGGTTGACTTCAAGGAGTTTATCCAAGGTGTATCGCAGTTTAGCGTACGCGGCGATAAACTGTCCAAGCTTCGATTCGCCTTCCGGATTTACGACATGGACAACGATGGATATATCTCGAATGGGGAACTCTTCCAGGTGCTCAAGATGATGGTCGGCAACAATCTGAAGGACACACAATTGCAGCAGATCGTGGACAAGACCATCTGCTTTGCGGACAAGGACGAGGATGGCAAGATCTCGTTCGACGAGTTCTGCTCGGTGGTGGGCAACACCGATATCCACAAGAAAATGGTCGTCGATGTTTAGGAGCCATATAGTATACATATATTGTAGGAATCCAAAATGATTGTGTGTGTACCTTCCCGTTCATACTTGTTCGTTCAGCTTTATAATAAATGGTCTGTCTGTAAGTCTGTGAGGGCGTTTGAGGCGTGCCAAAAACGAAGCAGTTTATTCGATTTATTGATAACTAAACTATCGCATGTTGTACACTTAGACCCAAGAACCTGATCGATCTCTCATCCTCAGAATGCAATGAATTGTGTCTTATACTCATACTTGAAACCACCGGCAACGGACCACTATGAACTCATCCCTCTTCAATGAAGCATACTTTCTAAAAACTTTCCCATACGATCACTTTCGAACATCCCTTCGCTCGTATAGGTGGCATAGGATTGCTCGCATCATCCTAAACTAGTTTGTACTATATCCTAACTCTACGTTCAATTCAAGCCTAACAATTAAGTCCATCTCTTGACTAAATGTTGTGTATAAGATATGTAAAAAAAAAACCAAAAACTACGACTACAATTAAACACTGTTTATCGAAAAGCTAAACTAAAAACCCCCAAAACGCATTTACCTACCTGCCTGAATGTCTTTTTTTTGTTTGGTTGGAAGTGGGTGAAAGTGGACTGGGTTCTTTAACCGGCGGGCAAATGTCCTCAAGTCCTTCGGTCCGCGAGTCCTTGGACAAGGCAAGCACGTGCGTGTCTCTCTGTTCGTCTCCCAAAGCTCCCGAAATTCCGAAATAACCACAAAAAAAAAACAAAAACCCTCACCAGAACATAAAAAGCCAACCTCCAGCCGAAGGCGCAACCGAAAACTTTTGGCCGTTGGCAACGATTAAATGTTTTGTAGGTCACCGATTTTCCAACTGCTCGTGTGTGTGTGTAACCTCATGTGAGGTGTTGATACACCCTCAAAAATCCATGAGTTCTTTTCTATATCTACCTATATCTTTACCTATGGTATGTCACTAAAGGTCCCTTTGAAAAAACCTCCTTTGGGTTGTTCCCTTATTTCGTATTTTGAAATCAATGAGCATTTTAAATATTTTATTAAGAGGCAACTTTTTTGTTTAAATTTTCAAAGTTTATGTGGTAAAAGTATCATTATTAGCCAATAATAAAATGTGTTGTTGTTAAAAAGTGTTACGTATACGCCTCATTGCACAAAACATATATTAAACAATAATTTGTGAATCATCATTAGGGAAGGTATTTATTTTCAAATCAGTTTTTCATTGATAGTGCGGCAAACTTTGTTTAACTGGTTTTTTTGGCTTTGATTTTCAAAGTCAAGAAATTTTTTTCCAAGTGGCCACAGGAAGCCAGCCAACTAGCTGTTGGGTCCGTGGAGAACTTGTACGGCAACAGAGCCTTGACCACGGAGTCACCTACTGGGCCACTGAGCTCCTGAGCTTGGGAGGTCCTGCGAAGGTCCTTTGTGTGCGGGAATGCGTGAGTGTGTGTGTGTGTGAGAGTGTGAGTGTGCCTGGTATCAATAAATTATTATATGCTGTCTGTCGCAAGCTGGTTCGTTAATCATTTTTGCCTGGGACCCGCTCCTCCCGCCATCGCCGACTTCCAAATAAAGGCATTTCCATTTTGAAAATTAGTAGGGTTAATGCCGAGGGTAACCCCCGCAGTCCCCTCTTAAGTCGAGGTCCCTTAATTTCGCTCCCACGACTGACCTTTTTCCTTTGGTATTAATTGGTTTGATTAATGTGCTCCAATTTTCGGATGGTACGTAACTGCGTCAGGCCCCAATAATCGGGCTTTTCGGGCGTCTATCATTTTTTTCATTTATTTTTTTTAAGGCGAACCCGGACTTATATTAATCGATGGGACCGATACAATTTGTATCTTCGATGGGTTCCGGACAGGTGATATTTATTCCGGGCTAGGCAAAAAGATTACCAAGTTAAGATAATAATATGCTATTTTATATCGAAATTATCATGCCAGTTATAATTCAATTTCTAAGTTGATTTTGCGCAATCCCTAATACGTTTTTGATGTCTTCTGGTATAATTAAGCCCCGAAACCCAAAGGATATATCTTGCTATTATTGATTCTTTCGGTCGCCCCAAAACCCCGAAAACGCTTCGTTTATTTTTGGAAGCATTTTTTGTGGGTTCAGCTTGCAAGGTGGTCTCAAACTTATTTCGCTCGAATGACTTTGTTCCGGAGCCAACTATTTAGTCAAAAGGCCTTTTATAAATGATGTAAAAAGAGTTTCCCCAAATTTTAATGGGCTGGCGGGCAATGGGTAAATAACTGGTTCCCCCAAACACAAATCAATATGCCCTCTAAACATGTACATTTCTATATAAACGTGCCTGTTTATGTGTAATGAAGTTTGGACAGGCAAGGGATATCGCATAACCTCAAAACGAAATTGTCAGCTTTTATTCCTTATTTTCGTTTGCCACCTGGAATCTCTGGGCTCAACACAGAGCCCATTGGCTCTGGCATTAGTTTTTCGATACCCACACCCACCTGGGGAAAAATAAAAGCTTTTTAGTTTATGTTGCTTGTTTCCGCGTTGTTTCTCTTTTTGTTTTTGTTTTTTTGTTTTTTTTTGTTCGGCTGTTGTGTTTTTGCAATAATAATCGCGGCATTAAGTCAAAAGCAGCCCTGCAAAAACAAATGCCAAATCAATGTCCATGTGTGTGCCTTCCATTGACAGTTGCGGTCAAAATGTTAGACGTATTTACAGGTTGTCATAGACCCAGTAAGAATGATTTTCTATTTAAAGATTTAGAACAAATGCGGAAATGAAATAAAAGAAATATTTGTCTTCACAAAATGTATTTTCTTTAACACACACTTACCTTTTTTGCCACTTTCAAATCGAATTAAAAACACACCTATTTTTTAAGTGCCCACTATTATTTACTGCATAGCACAACATTCGTGTAATTATATTTTGCATTACTCTGTGCTTATTGGCTGGCTCATTTATTTAATTAGCCATTTCTATAATTCCGACCCCAGCTGTGCGTGTGTGTGAGTGCGGCTGAGTGGCATGTGTGTGTATTGTGCGATAAAAGTTGACTCGTGCCAGTTTCGAGCTGTAACCGAAAACGCATACAAAACAAAAAGCGGCAAAAAAATAGAAGTGAATGCGAGAGAATGGGGGGACATACAATGTGAATGGGAATTACAAAAACAAGGCATCAACAACCACCGTTAGCGCCAAGCGTCGAGCGCCAGGAGCGTTCTTTCCTCTTTCTCTGCCCGCCGCCATTCGCCGTTTACTGTTTGCCGTTCGCCGTTCGCCCTTCCATCTGTTCCCGCCCACAGAACCATAAATTCACCATACCACGCGGCTGCCGCAACAGTGCACCGCCCCCTCTTGCACGCCCTTTGACCCACCAACGACCCACTGAACCACCGACCCACCAACCCACCAACCCACTGAACCTCCGAGCCACCAAGCCACCAATCCAGCAATCCACCATTAAAGGTGGCAGCAAACAAACGCCGGTGACGCAACGGAACTCTGGAGACCCCGATTCCGAACCCGAATCGGAATCCGAATCCGAATCCGAATCCGAGTCTCCGAGTCCCCGAGTTCGAGAGCCAGAGCGCGGAGTCGAAAACGGAAAACGGGAAAACGGAAAACACGAGCACCAACAACCAGGGACGGACCTGAACCTGACCCACTAACCCTTCGAATTAGCGGCAGCGATTCCAGGTTCCCAAGGGAACCCAAAAAGATATGCCTATATACATAGGAATACATAAACAGATAATACATTTTTAAGCTTTGTCATGGTAGAACAAAAACGCTTTTTCATGCATATGTAGGATACTAACTTCGATCTTCAAAAAGTAAGCCAGATTTCAGTAAATATGTTAATAAAACTTTAAAATTTCCTAATGTTAAGTTTATTATTCCTTCACTTCAGATAAGCACATATGATTCAAGATGCTTTTACACTCGTAATTAGCTTAGCAAGCAAATGTTTTAATAAAACATTACTTTTTATCCATGTCTCGATCGTAAGGTTTAAATATATTATAATTTTTAAGCTATTACACTCGCATATCGAGTTGAATCCTGGGTCTAACCGTGGTAAGGTCAATGTTAAGTGTTTTGTAGCTGCCTTCCCAGACTCTCGTAAACTGAAATGTGGCAGTAAAACTGACAAGTGCCGAGGCACTCTAATGAATTTAATGAATACTTACAGCTCAACCAGAGCATAAGAAAATGGGCAGTTGGGCTCTAATCTTCCATTCAGTTTGAGTTGATCCGACTGTAATTAGGTTAATATTCGTAATTTGCCGACTTAAATGTGTTGAATTAAGTGTATGTCTCAAAGAAAAAATCTTTATCTTAATCCCAATTAAGTTTGACTAATGGCTTCAAATGGAATACTATTACCAAACTCCTGTTAGTCCGCTCCTGTAGAAATCGGGCCTCTAACTTCGACTCCGATTTTAACACTGACTCCGTTTCTGTTTCCATTTTCAATTCCGAGTCGCGACTCCCGATTCCCGATTCAGTGGCCCTGGCGCTACATGCACTCAACGAAGTGTCTTTATACTTGTATGCTGTTTTTTTCGGGCACACAAGTAGCAAGTGTCGTCCAGGGGCGTCGTCGGGAGTCCTCTGCAAGGGGGTTAACTATGGCAAGTCAGGAATAACATATTTTCAGGCCAAAAGCATACCTTATAACCGTTTACCTAAATATTACGTATACGACACGTACACCCAGCTTTTTTTTGGTTTTGATCAGATAATGGCAAAACTTAATATTCAAAACGGTATTCTATTTAGTTTAATGGTTTAAAATTGTAAGGTGTCGTAAGTAAGATTGCGTTATTTTTTATTGATTGCCTTATTGCATCTAAACTTGATGTTTTGAAAGTTTAAATCTAAAAATAGCATACCTTCAGGGGTTCTCCCATCCTATCGGGCAATCCAAACTTTTTCGCACTCCCTCTCTTTAGAACGTTAGAGTTAACTGCTGCCGCCGCTGGGCGGACTAAACGACTTCCCGCCCACAAAAGCGACAGAGAGGGGTGGCCAGAGAGGGGTGGAGAAAGCGAGGAGAAAGGGAGAGAGCGACCGAACGACCGAACGACCGACCGACTTACCAACCGACAGCCGAAGAAGAAGCAGAAGCAGAAGCAGAGCAACGGGAATGCCGACGAACACTATATACACGGTGCCGAGCAACAAATTGAGTCAGTATCGCACAAACAACACTAACGGAAACATCAACGTGAAAGCGAGACGGACGCCCTCCGTCCCGTTATATGCTGTGTCTGTCTGTCTGTGTGTTGAGAGTTCTACGTCGCGCACTCCAAAAAAGAATAAAAGAAAAACTTTAACACTCACACACACACACCTACACACATATGCAGTAAGGTGGAAAAATCAAAAAATAAAAAAGGTGCTAGGACAACAAAAGTCAGCAAAAGAGAGAGACAGTGAGCGCAGCTTAGATCGCAAAGACAGAGTGAGCCAAAAAGAGACAGTAGCAGAGCTTAGGGCTCCAAAAACAGTGATCAAAAGGCAGACAGTTAGATCTTCAAAAATTTAAGGGAGTAACAGGAGTTTCGATTAAAAAATGTCAGTTAGGTCGGCGTTAGCCTCTTTGCACGACCTAAGTTTTCATCTGAATTTTAAATAAGTTATGTATTTAAAATTTAATTAAATTAAAAAATATTGTTCAAATAAAATAAAAAGGGTTAAACTCAGATCGTGCAAACAGACCCTAGTTAAAAGATATCAAGAGCAGGGAGACAGCCACAGAGAGCAGGATCGCAAATCAGCGGCTTAATCTCAGAAATAAATCGTTGCAAAGGGCAATGTTTTGAAGTTTCGCAAACGTATTCAATAAATCAGTAGTTGGAACTGGCAAAGTTTGCAACTCCCCTCGGCCAAAAAAAGCAGGACCAGAATAGACAGGCACAGATGCATAAAAAAAAACCGTAAAATAGCTAAAATTCGACAAGCTGCGGAGTTGAATGCTCTTCGTTCGTCGTCGTCGTGGGTGTCGTACACATATACAAAAACATATATAGATGCAAGCCCCCTTGCCATCTATATATAAACAATATATATATTTTTTTCTTGTTATTCTATAGTTAATATATAGTTAAAACAAATTTAAGAAAAAAAGAAACAAGTGCAAGTAAAAGGTGCCCAATGTGGCCAATGGAAATGCCAAAGAAAATGCAGCAACAACAAATTCGACAGCAAACGCGAATTCTACGGCGACAACAACAGCAGCAGCAGCAGCAACAACAACAACAACAGTTGCAATTTCCCAATACATAAGTCCACCGAATTTCCGTCTTTGTCGCGCGCGTTTACACACAACAGGCACACACACACACGCAGGGACACATGCATGTGCATAAATGGCAATATGGACGAACAGCAGCTGCATTTGCGTTGTATACCAGCACAGTGACACGCGCGTGCCAAATATTGCCGATTTTATCACACGAACAACAACAACAACAGCAACAACAACAACACCAGCGGGACCAGCTATTAAGTAAAGGAGCCACTACAACAACAAGAAGAACAACCATAGGAACAACAACAACAACGAAAGCAACGAAAATTGCTGGAAGGCGTCGCAAAATATCAAAGTGGGTACCATTACTAATACTACGAAAAACAACAAAGATAGCATACTTACTAACACACACAATATAACACACAAAAAGTCTGAATTTTCACACCCACACACACACTCTGAAAAACTTGGCATACCAACACGAACGACAATAACTGTAACCAAAGTGCAGGCCGCGGCAGAAGAGGACAAAAGGGCAGGCCAGGAGCGAAAAACCGGAGCAGGAAGGATCAAGAAAGGGAGTGCTAAATGAGTTATGCGTGCACATTCCTCAACTTACAGCTGCAGTTGGCCACTTATCCACACACACTCACACACACACACGCACTGGAAGAAAAGTCCTGCTAAAACATAGAATATTTACAAACTTAAGGCATTCTCAAAGGGGAAAAACAAAGGAATAAAAAGTTCAAGAAGTTTTAAAGTTCATTAAAAGTTTAGAGCTTATATGAAACACTGAAGTTGTATTAGGATAACTTTCAGATTGAATCCAGGGCTAATGCAATTTGTCATGTCAAGCAACTCCAACAAAACTAATTAGGAAATTAACGAGTTCTGCATTTAAGAATAAAGTTTTCAAAAAGTTGAGTTGAGTCGAGTTGATAAGAAAAGAAAAGTACTCCGCTTGCTTTTATGAAATTTATATTTATATTATATAATATTATTTACCATTTATCTGAATATTATAAGCCCTATGTCTCTAGCAGCAATACACCTTGTTATATTATTAAATCAAATGGCTTCTATCCAAAGTAACTTAATCTCAAAAATTACATGAAGTTCGTGAAGCTCCTTTTCCCAACCACCAAAAGACTTTTTAAATCTTAAAACTCGAAAACAGTACCAAAATTAACCAAAATTAACTTTAAAGGGCCCGCAATCTCATAAATAAATCAAAATTTCTGGTTGCTATGTTGAAAACTCCAAAAATTGTCTAGGACGAATTCCAGTAAAAGTTTTGTTCATAAAATTAGGGCAACTTCGCATTCCGGCAGGGGCCCAAATAGATTTTCGGACCACTTCAACCCCACAAGAGCGTTCATGGCAACTGTCTAATAAGTTTTTCGGAATGGCAGAAACGGGATTCAAGTGCGGAATACTTGACATTTTTGCTCTCCGTGCAGTATATGCAGATTAGGCCAAGTTGGCTGAGTAACCGCAAGCCGCAAGCCGCAAAACCGCAGCCGAACAAGAACGGGAGCTTTCGAGTGCTGTGCAATCAAAGAAAGGACCCCAAGGAAGCCGGCAGGACCTCCGCTGCCGAAGAAAAGGCGCTCCACACCAACGATGACACGTTTGGCGGTGCAGAACGAACAGTATGTAACGCTGGCTGGCTTGCGGTCATGCAAATGCATAAGGATAAGTCCTCGAAAAGCGAAATATGAGATTGCCAACCCACTGAAACAATGACCCCATCTCCATCTCCATCTCCATCTCCGTCGCTTTTTAGCTCGCTTTTCCCGCTCTCCCACCCCCCTTTGACGCACATGGAAAATTCATGAAGAGCCAAATTGGGTTTGTGGTCGAACCCAAAAACATAACTAAAAATAAATTATTGAGTATACTGCCGCAACTTTAAGACCATTCGGGGGGTTCGAACTTTAAACTGAACTTTATGCTGAACTTTTAAAACGGAAATTGAAAGCATAGTGAATGGGACAATTACTGGAATTGGGTCAGTAATTGAATGCAAGCTTAGTTTGGGGTATTGTAAAAGCATTTTAGGAAGGGAATAAAAATCATTTAATAGCTCTTTTAGTTTGTAAAGCAATCGGATTTATCTAACCTTTAAAGTAACATTAAAGAGAACGCAAGAGATTTTAATACAACATAAAAAATCATTAAATTAATGTAAGATGTATATAATAACTGACATAAAAATAGTGCCCCGTTTTAAATGAACAAAAATTGTCTAACCTAATAAAACATAGCTAAATTAATTCCTGTAAAGAATACACTTTTTCCTAAAAAATAAGCCCCGAATACTTTGTTCTAAGAAAATTTTCCCTCGCCCTACCCTAAGCCAATTTGTTAATAGCTGATTTATTGTCTAGAAAGGCACTAAAACGAAAAGTTCCTCGCATCGAAATCATTGTTAATTACCCATCGCTAAGCAATACACACGAAAACCCCAACTAAACATTCCTTATTTTTATTGTAAATAACAAAGATCATAAACCCCGTGTACAATACATATACCGTAGGTCTGCTACTATTGTAAATAGAATGTCAATTGTGTTTATTTCCCAACCTATTATCCAAAAATACATCAAATAAACTTTTTGCAAAGAAAACACAAACATTTTTACACATTTTCCCCAGAAATTTCGTTTTTGTTTGGTTTTGCATTTGCTTATTGTTTTTTTTTGTTTTAAATTTTTCTTTTTGCAACTCTTTTCGTCTGGATGTCGCCGCTTTCGCTTTCGTTTTCGTTTTCTATACGATACGATCCCAGATATATCTTAATGCACTTGTGTGTTTTTGGGAGCGATCGTGTTGAATGTGAAATATGTCTGCGATGTAGGAATTCGCCATAAATAGACCCGAGATCCCGATGCCAATCCCTGTTCCCTCTTCTCAGTTCCCAGAAATGTCTCTACACAGGAACTCCCATATCTGTCCCCCTGGGAATCTTAAGTAGTCTCTTGTTTAGCTAATGGAAAATTGCATTCCTCCTTTCCCCGGCCCCCAAGGGAAATCGAACCTTGATTTATATCGTTAATCTTTTGAATTTTAAAAGTCGTCACCCAGCCGGTTTCGCTGATAGCTTCTCCCCAAAGTCCCCTGTCGAATGGTTAATGACCAGAAAAGCGAGCAAAGTGAGCGTAATTAATGGAAACTGTAATCAATCATGCGCTCCAATTAACCGACCCATCCCGTCCAATATTCTTGATATTCTTGTCGGATGTGGGACTGCAGAGGTGAATGTATATATCACCCTCCCTTCGCCGACTGCTGAATGAATGCTAATGGCGGTGGGATGTGGGATGTGGAGGCCCCCTTTTCCACTCCGCTTCGTAATGACACGGAGCGGTCTGGTGTACATTTCAAAACTCATTACGATTCACTCACTCGACGTCAGCGAGGCGTCCTAATGTGTATATATGGTATGTCTGTGATCATAGCCGACGAGTCATCATCTCTGATTTCTTAATTTTTTTTTTCGCATTCAATAAGCTCTATATTTTCATATTTTTCTTTGGTTTTTCATGAGGTACTTGACCTTTTCCAAGGGATTCAGAAAGTCAATTATTGGTATGCGGCACGCTTTTATGGGCAATTTTTCTTTAGAATTGAGGTTCCTTTGATTAGTGATATTGTGCTATTTTAAAATTAATAACTTCAATAGATTTCTTTCTTGGCAAGACCTACTTTTCTTAGCTATTCATTGACTTAGCGCCGTCAATAAATGCCAGCGACAAACGCAAATTAGATTTTTATTCGACAGTTTCCTGCCGCAATAACTGATAGTTGTAATAAATTGGTTTTTCCGGTTTTCGGAAAATTTATCGACAAAACATCCATAAATATTGGCATTAATTTTGGTTGTACATTGATAAAATGGAAAAGGACAGTAGAAAAAAAGAACACATCGTTATCTCGTTATCGATAATTAATTCAGCAAAAACCACTTGAGTCTACTTCAGTCTCTTTCACTTCAGCACTCGAACTCATGAATATCGAGAACTTTGTTTGGAGGGCTACTTTTTGGGGACTCTCTAACAAATCCCAACCGAAAATTCAATGCCCGTTCAAGATTGCTATTCATAAAAATCGCCGGAGAACGTTTGCGTCTTTTATTCATATCGATAATTGTTTGAACAATTTCGGTGAATACCAAAAATGAATTCATCGATTGCCTGCGGCCGTTTCCTTTTTCGCTTTTGCGTTTCTCTTTTTTTATTCGCTTCATTTACTTTTGGGTCCTGGGGGCGTTGGCCAAAAGGGGGAGTGGCAGCGGAGAGGAGCCCAGAGGACCCGCATAACCTTTCACCTCGATTGGGCGGGATGTTTGCGGGTGGAGGTGGACTGCGGGTGAGTATTTCACATTTGCTGATTTTTGACGCGTCCATTTACTGTTGATTGATTTTGCTTATACACTGGCCAACAAACCGCTTTAAATATTAAATTCTTGATTTAAGCCTGCGTTTCAAAATAATATAATATCAGCTGTGAAAAAACCCCCTTACAAATTATTTTAAATGTAATTACTCCTCAAAAAATATCAGAGCATTAAAATTTGATAATTATATTTTGAAGTTGCTGAAAAATTACAAATTATAAAAAGAAAAATTTCCAGCTTATATAAAAAACACAGGACAATCCTTATATGTCTGCATCTAAATATATACATTCGCATTAAATGCTTTTATTTAAAAAAGCTTCTTATATATCAATAAGTTTTAATCAAGCTTTGTTTTACATTTTTTTATTGTGTGCTTTTATAGTACTTAATATATATATCTGCTTGTATGGGTTGCGGTTGCATCTACTTAAAAATACATTTATTTCTGCGGCTTACAATAAGCGAGGAGACATGGAAATTGATCAAATATTTATACAGTTTGCATAGTTAATTTACATAAGTCCATCAGCGGTCCCCCTGTCCGTCTGTCCGTGTATGTGTGTGTGTGTGTGTGTGTTAGTGTGTGAATGATTTCCACGAGTGTTTTGTGGGTTTTAGTGTGTTTGTTAACCGCACCAACCACCAGTCACCACCCACCAGCCACCACCCACTACCCAACTTTCCATAACCTTGCCCGCTGTGTGTGTCTAGCCTTGTCCTGTCTCATCAATGTCAAAGCAATGAACCCGAATATCCATATTGCCAACGCTTCGCTTATTCAATTTCCCCGTCTGTCTATCCAACTGGGGCGGCTTTCCCCGATTTTCCCCCAGATTTTCCCCGTGGCTAATACCCTTTTCAAAAGCCTGGCAGCTCAACGAGGGGCTGACGAGGGGATGGCTTAGGGTATTAACAGCTTCGACTTGGCGCAATGGAAAGCAGCGTTT